TTCCTAACGCAGGTATCTCATGAGTCATGGTGTCCGACCACGATTACATATGTATAACATTTTAAACCGCAGTAATTACTTAATAAATTGTATTTTTCATTAGGGTGATTATTATTTTTTTTTTCTATAAGCTATCCACATCATTTTGTGAGTACCAAATTAAGGTGAAAAGTAAAAAATAAATAATAATAAAATGTTAATGTTGATCACGCGTTGGCCATTGTTGTAGGTAGGTAGTTGGGATTACGAGATAATCTATTTTGTGCAACGATAAATCGTCGAAAACGAAAAAGAAAACGATTCTGAGCGGGAGCACCTGTAGAAACTAACAGAATAATCAAACATGACCTATAAGGGGAAACTGCTGAAAATGTCGATTAACGTTTCAAACAAACGCATCTTTTGAAGTATGATACTGAAAAAAATTGAACCGTTTTCGTATTTAAAAAAGCGTTTTCATAAAAAAAAAAAAAAAAAAAAACACACACACAAAACCAATTTATTAGAAAAAGTATTTGGAATTTCGAAAAATGTTTCAAATAAAGTACAATTGCAAGCAAACGGAATGACAAGAAAAAAATCGGAGCATGTTTACTAACCGTTTTTCCGAGAAAAAACATCCTTTGTTGCGTGGACAAAATGACCAAATCGACGGATTAATAACATCGGATAAAACATTAATTGTGTAAAGCGTTTGAAGTCGCCGACCTTCCGGGCACCGTTTAGGTACAATATACACAATTATATTATTATCGGTGTTAACAATACGAGTATATAGCATACAATACGGAATAATATAATCATTTTATTGGCAGCTATGTGTTTCGAAATTTCCCGTCGTATGATTCGGTTCGATTCCCACGGTCGAAATGTCGACCTGTACATTTAAAAATACATCTAACGGTTTTATATAAAAAAAAAAAAATACGATATACTTCACACCGTCATCGATGGGTTTGCACAATTGTAGATGGGAAATCGGGAAGATTTGAATTAATACATTATTTATCAGGATGAATTAGTTTGTACACCTAATATTGAAATCATCATTTCGATTAAAAAGCGATCACAAGGATCGCAAGAATCGTTTAATAAAGTTTTTATTTTTCGAATTTTTCACAATTCGTATTTTTAAATAGAAAAGTTTCTAATAGATTGCATAATACAACAAGAGTATACAGAATTATACACTATCATTTAAGATATCGCGTGAAAAACTCTGTGCATATTTAATAACCGAAATGTGTTTTCCAAGAAAAGCCACACATTATAAATAGGCGTAGTAAAACACTCAGAATAAAATTAATTAAATGAAACACACGAATTTCAACACATAAATGAATTACCAGCACGACGTTTTCACGTTACGGAACTTTATTTAAAAAAAATTAACTTTCGACTTAACTTTTGTTATTATTTTCCTTTTGTACAATTCGGTAATCAACATAATTTATCGAATTCGTTTTTTTTTATTTTAAAATTAATTTGTTTTAGTTATTTTTTTAAATTATTATTATTTTTTTTTTTTTTGAAGAATAACTTAATTAAAATACCATTATCGTTTCACTCGCCCGGTTTTGGCGTAGATCGCACGCGCTGTACCCACCCGCGCACGGCGCCGGATTGAAATACCACCGTATTATATAAAACCGTTGATTTATGAACAAAACTCGACGTCTAAATCGTCGTACTAATACACCGAAACGCGCAATTGTAGGCGCGCGATATTTCGCTTTAACCGTCGGAAATCACACGGCCGCGCGTATCACCGCAGCGTAACAATCGAGGCGGGTAACACGCCGGTCCTTTTATTTTTTTTATTTTTTTTTTTTCCTGTTCTGTCGCGTGTGCGCCGGAAACTCGAAACGCACGACGCCCACCGCGAACGCGTCCGACCGTTAAAACGCGCACGGCGCATACGCGAATTTACGCGTTTCGTTATAATCATCACGCGGTCTGTTGCCGGTATACACGCGTCCAATGCGGTATAATAAGTACGCGTCCGGCCGGAGCGTGGGCGGCGGCGATTATAAGGTGTCGTACGACGCGTTACTATGCACTGCACGACGTTATTAATAATAAATCGGCATTGCGCTCCGTTCCGTTACGACGTGTTGTCGACGCTCGACGGGGGAGGAGGGGGGGGGCTATCCAAACGAATGGCAGTTTTGCCCCTCGCGCACCCGCGATAATTCACGGGACATCGTCGCGGTTTCTCGGACGTTCCGCACGTTGTGTTTATTGCAATTTCGGCGATCGAAACACACGAAGCCGGTACGGCGTGCGCGTACGAGAACGCGGTGGTGACGCGCGCGCCCCGCGCGTCCGTCGAATAAAACTCGGAATTCCGACCAAAAGTACCGTTCATCTATAATCTGTCTCGGGGAGCCCGGTGCCGGTTTGCCAAACTGTCCTCGGTGCGATTCGAAAACGATTCAACGTTTCGATAACCGCCTTAGAGATAATAATTAGCATATTGCCCAGTTCCGCTGTACCGCGTTCACGTGGTGGGAAAAGCACGGCCGTTTTTACGGACGAAAATTACTACGGGAATATAACGGCGTCGCGATCAGGTGCACTCGTACTGTCTTTCTGGCTTTTAAACAAAAAAAATTAACGTCATTTTATACCGTATTGGACCTATTTCGAATTATTTATACTTTACAGATTGGTGGTTGATACGTAAAAAAAAAAAAATAATTTTTCGAACTGTGATATGAAACCGTTTAGGTTTTCGCGAACATTTTTCGATTAAATCGCCGATATAAATTCGGTATCCTCTTCGAGTCTCCTCCTAAGAACGTTCACCGTACACAAACCAGACAGCCGATCATCAGAATTCGTCCATTCAGATTTTCAATGTCGTTTCACATGCAAATAAATTGATGTACAACTCGAGTGTTTCGTAGCATAATTGTGAATTTTGTATGATATAAAAGAAACGCATTTATTTCGATCGTTAGAAAAACGATGTTTTAAAGAAGATATGACTAAATCCAAGCTAGAGTTTATACTGTTCAGAGTTTATTATTATTACTCTATTATACGGTTTAAATTACAAAATATTCCCACCATCTATATATAGATTTTGTTATATCGACAATTAAACTCCAATGATTTCAACCTGCACGTGATTTGTCTTCGTCGCCCGTTTGTTTGGCAGTGACACTGTGATGCAAACGTGGGCGGCGTGGTGTCCTCTCTTAAAGCTGAACAATGATTCGAATATTATTCGTATCATCATAGGTAATGATTCATTATTAACGATACTATCATTATACGTAATCTGTCTATAAAAAAAAAAAAAACATCAATTTTCGTAACGGGTCTGCCCACCGTGCAAGAGTATAGTAATATTTTATCGTCCTATTATTACCAACGTATATTATTTCAGTCAATATTATTACGACGGTATGCCGAATCGGTCGACGGTTTTCATAATCATTGGGCGAATAACGATATTTTTATGGAGCTATAAGATAATATTATGCATGGGAAATCGAACGAATCCAAACGATGACCAATCGCAATGTGTATTATAGCGTATTATTAATAGGTACGCCGTCAAATTACGGGTATAAAACTGTAGAAGTATTATATAAAAAAAAAATAAAAACTTCAAAACATTCTATTAGTACACGGATGTTAATTACTGAAATAATAGATACGAATAATATAATGTATTGTAGGAGCAATATTAACTGCGGTCGTTCGAGTCACGAAAGTCGTGTGCAGACGCGCCATTTTTATTCTACTCGAACCATCGACGCGCACGTGTAACCCCTTTTCGTTATTTAGGTGTAATACTAAAATAACATATAAAACTAGTGGTTTTTTTTCCACGGTGTCACAACGAATCGCGGTTTTTTTTTTAACGCGAAATAATAATATTACTATACATATTGTGGACGAGAGACCGTTACAATTCTTCTAATGTGTCAGTGTATCATTTGGTCTCGAGGAAGAATAAGAGAGCTTAGGTAAATTCTTGGCCTTTTTATTTCGTAATTTATTCTTATTTAATTTTAGATTCCGAGTGGAACGAAGAAGCTTATGATCAGGGCTGTGAATTTAATGCATTTGCATGTTTTTTTTGCTACATCATAAAAGAAAATGGATTCGGCCAAAATTTGAATTGTGTTACTAATAATTAAAATACGAAATCTTATAGTGCATATTTTTGCATATTTAACTAGTTAGGGCATATAAATGCATGTTTTTATACTTTTTTCGTATTAATGCTTTTTTCTTAATATTTATACTTTTTCGGTCAATTTGGTCTAAAATATAAAATACATAATATAAAATGTATTTATAATCTAACTATCTTTTATAGAAATTTTATTATTTTTGAACATTTTATTCTATTTTTAGTTGGGTTGACTACACGTAAATTCGGGTATAAATAGTTGTTTTCTTATTTTGCCGAATATTGTCCAAGATCAGTATTATTAATTAATAATTATTATTGTATTGTTGTGGTCTATAAATATAAATAAATGGAAAATAATATTTACCTATATTAACTTGCACTTGATGCCTGATGGACAACAATTGTAAAAATAATACCTATTTCTATTAGTTCGATGTGATCGCCGATCCGTGATGTGCGTGTGTTCGTAATTCGAGTGTTATAGTTTTGTTTTGTTTATTTTATTATTTTATTGCGCCTAATCAGTACCTACTAGCTCCTTATTTATATTTCTAGTTGTACTGTATATTTTAAAATGCCAAAAGAAAAAATATCGGTTGCAACCCGTCTAAGAAACTACGTTTCTGAATTTGGAAATATATTTACAACAGACAGTAAAATTTTATTTTGTACAGTATGCAATATTAAAATTGCGAGTGATAAACGTTTTTCTGTAACACAACACATAGCCACTGAAAAACACCAAAGAGGAGTTAATCGTACAGAAAACAAAAAAAAAACTCAGCAACTTATTATCTCAAAATATTCGTCATCTAAATCGTCATTTAATAATGATTTATGTAAAGCCATGCTTAGTGCTAACATCCCGTTAAATAAATTAAGTAATACATATTTCAAACAATTTTTGATAAAATATACTGGACAAAATATTCCAGATCAAACAACATTACGCAAAGTTAATGTTGACCATTGTTACCAGGAAGTTTTAAACGAAATAAGACAAAAAGTAGCGGGAAAGAAAATTTGGGTCTCAATAGATGAGACAACAGATGCCGAGGGCCGCTTTATTGCTTCAGTTATTATCGGTACATTACTCCTCGATCGTCCAGGTGAAATTTTTTTATTTAACCTCGAACAATTACAGAAAACAAATCATAGTACAATATGTTCCCTATTTGAAAATTCACTTTATTTATTATGGCCTGACGGAATAAGACGAAACGATGTATTGCTGTTTTTAAGTGATGCTGCGCCTTATATGGTGAAGGCTGGTGATACATTAAAAGTGTTGTATCCAAAAATGGTTCACGTAACTTGTACTTCCCATGGATTACATAGAGTCGCTGAACAAATACGTATTCAATTTCCAAAAGTTGATAAACTGGTAGCAAATGTTAAACGAGTATTCAAAAAGGCGCCTTATCGTGTTCAAAAATTTCATACTGATGCACCGAATATATCACTACCTCCTGAACCTATTCTGACACGTTGGGGTACGTGGATTTCTGCCGTATTATATTATAGTGAAAACTTTCAAACTGTAAAAAACATAATTGAAAGTTTTGATGAGAATGATGCGCTTTCCATAAAAAATGCTCAAAAATATTTTAAAATTACTCAAATGAAAGGAAACTTGACTTTTATACATTCGAATTTTGCATGTCTTCCCATAGCTATAACGCGTCTACAAAAACAAGGTATACCCTTATCTGAAGGTATTGCAATCATACAAGATATTTCATCAAAGTTTAGTCAATTAACAGGTACCGCTGGAATTGATATTAATAAAAAATTACAAACAGTTCTCAACAAAAACAAAGGATTTCAAATTGTTTGTAATATTTCAAAAATATTAACTGGCGAAGAAGAGAATGTAGGTGATTTGGATATACCAGAAGATTTAACCAGTAGCGACATGGCGTATTTTAAGTTTGCACCAATAACATCCGCAGATGTAGAACGATCGTTTTCTTTATATAAGAATATATTGGCACCAAACAGGAGGTCTTTCAAGTTTGAAAATCTCAAAAAATCATTAATCGTACAATGCAATAATTACTTTAGAGGTAAATTTATTAAATATTAAATTTATTAAATATTAAATTTATATTTATATTTATATTTATTTTTTTTATATAGATGCCGTAAATGACGATGATGAAGATCGCAATTAATTTAAATTTATATAAACATGTAATACCCATAAATTTTTAACAATTATATTTAGTATTTAAAAAAATATTTTTTGTTGTTTTTTGTATATTTTTGAAAAATTAGTACATATTTTACGAAATTTTAATAGCATATTTTTATGCACGTTTTGATATTTTTAGTGCATATTTTGATATTTTTTAGTGCATATTTTCATGCATATTTTGACATTTTTTAGTGCATATTTAATAGTTTTTTGGTGCATTAAATTCACAGCCCTGNGCTCCGATTTTTAAGTATAACACTGTTTTTGAAAGGAAATCGGACTAGGGAAGTGCCTTAGGGGGATAATTTTTCGATTTTCCTAAGAGTTTTCCTAGAAAATGTGAAGAAAAAAAAGAAAGATCGGTACGTTAAACAAATATTATTAAATAAAATACATAATGCCTATTTAATTATTTTACGATAATATGACATGTATATTGTTGACAAAGCATCACGTTCAGAATCGTCTTTTCGTTGGCAATAGTTTATCGTCGCTTACAGATATATATTAAATTTCCTTCTGTATCCAAGCTTCCCAACTTCCAACCTATAAAAGTAGCTACACTCGTCCCCATTATCCTACCTTTCTATTTTCCGGTCGAAACAATTAACTTTTGTTTAACCGAGTTCAGTACCTAACGATTGCTTTTTAAATTTTAAATTCGAACCGAATGTTTTTTGTTTGTTTAACTTAAAAAAGTCAATAATTGTTTTCGTTAACTTGCAGTCAACTTCCGACAGCGATATGCGACGAAACAGGGACGTCATTCGAGTTTCTTATAATGGAGTATAATATCCACGCCTCCGTCACCGGGCACCGGGTTAATTACACCGTTAAAACAAATTGTTGAGGTTGCGCAAAATCGCAAAAATATTCCGTATGAGTATTTAAGCTTGAATGCCGCAGCCGGAGTATATCGATTAGGCCAATCCCCGAAAAATGCGCCCCCGAGAAGAGCGATCGAAATACAATATTACCTAGGTGCCTGTATATCCATAAATTTCGCAATCGGTATTTTCACTCTACAATCGAAATTAATTAGCTAGTTTTGCTTACTCTGCGTAAACATTGTTTTCGCATGTTACCCGGCTGAAACAGAAGACGGCCGGTATAACGTTCTCTTAGTAACGGTCTGCGGTTTACCTATACGGTTTTTAATAAACAAACCGGCGCAGGCGTATCCGCGCGTCGCGGTCGCTAAGCGCCGGAAAAATCGTTTGCCGCTCGTCCAATCGTCGGCAACGCAATAATATAATTGTTCGCGATACCAAACGCGGTTACAGCGATAATATCGGAGTTTGTCGGTTTGAACCCTGTACGTGGAAGATGACGCACGCCGTTTGATTCGTCTGGCTGCCCGTGCCGGATTTCTCGCACAGTAGGTAGAGGTATACATTTCGTCACGTTGACCAGAACTGAAATTTACGATCGTCTATATTGGATGATCAATCTATCGTAGGACGCTCATTATCACGGAAAGTGTTAATTTTTTTCGAAATCTGGTTCAAAGAACATTTAAGAAAAAAAACTGTCCTAAAACTTGACTTCTACATTATTTTTTGTCACCATAATTTTTGAGGACCAAACGACTACCTACTTTTGATTTTTAAATGGCAACCGACCTATATAAAAAATTCCATAAACGGACGGAGTAATAGTTGCAATAAATTTCATTACTAAAATGTATTTTAACTACCACCGCATCATTTTTGTATGACATTTTTAATATAGGTGGCCATTTTAAAATCAAAAGTAGGTAGTACTTTCATCGCTAAAAATTAGGGTGACAAAAAACAACATAAATGTAAAATTGCGGAGCTACTTGTTTCTAAAATTGTCTGTAAAATAAATGTCGAAAAAAGTTAACACTTTCCGAGATAATGAGCGAGTATGATAGATCCGATCACCCTGTATACAGTATAAATCTCAATACGAAATACACAATGACAACAATGTTAACAGTAGCGTGCCCGGAAATTTTCAACGATACGGGATATAGCGAAATATTTAAGAAATTTAAAATCTTCTTCTTTACCAAACTCGATTATGGAAATCGGTAATTTAAAAGCCGGATCCTGTAAAAAAGCCAATTTCTAATCAATGCATCATGATTTTCCTCGTAACTCGACTAAAATACATAATGCAATTCGATGTTAAATTACTCATATCATATTTTTTATACATTGGCTTTACAATGATGTTTATTTTTTATTTTTTTTGTCTGTGACCAACTTTTATACCGGAAACATTGCTCCGATTTTCCGTCTTGTGCTTTTTCAGAAATGAAATTTGACTGGGGTGGTACTTTAAGGAGGTAATTTTTTGATTTTTTTTTTTTCGGGAGTTTTCATAGTAAACGGAAAAATCTACGTGCGAGTATTATTTTCAAATCGTAAATATTACGACATTTCATGGCGAACTCCGTTCGGAGTCGTTTTTCGCCGAACAACGATTAATCTTTGCGTACAGATGTACATTGAATTTGCCCCTCTGCGCTTTTTCGGCGGAGGTGTTTTCAGGCGCCTATGACGGTTTGGACACTTGTGCACGTCGAGCATTATTGCGCACGCCGCCACTGCGGATAACTTTACAGACGAAATGCCACACGCGCGGCCCGAACGGATCGACGGTGCCGTTGGCCGGCCCCGGCCGCGGGCCCGACGCGCGACGTTTCTGTTCGTGGCTACGTTGCTGGCGCCGCTGGTGGCCGGCCCACCGGTGTCCCCGGAGTACCGGTTCCCGGCTGCGGCCGCGGCGCGCGCTCGCCGGTCGCCGTCGCCGCGGCGACCCGGGCCGGCGGATACGGCGGCGGACCGCGGGGACCCCCCGGCCGGAGCGCTGGCGTACATGCCCGCGTACGTGATACCCGTCGGTGCGCCCGTGGACCCGTGCGCGACGTGCCGACCGCGCCGGACGACGATGTGCCGGAAGAACGCGACGCCGTGCGACCGCGCCCCGCAGCCGTCTACGGTCCGCGCGGCGGAGAAAAGTCGCGCCGAAGCGGCGGACGGCCGACCGGACTGACCGGGAAACGCGAAAACGCACACGGAACAGAAACCAATTCGCCGTTTCCTCCGAAAACGTCGTCGGAACGTTGTAAAATGTAGCGATATAGTAATAACAATATAGTGAATATATCCCAAAAAACCCGAACCGCGACGCTATGTGAACGCGCGACGGCTTCCAAGCCTGTGTTCTCGCGTGTTACGGTGCGATTGTTGTACGTCAAACTTTTCGACTGCGGCGCCTCTTTCCGCACGGCCTACGGACGTCTACGTAATAATATCCAATTTGTCCTTGGAAAAAAAACCGCGCGGTCCGGCCGCAGCGTTAACATTGAAGCCGCCCATAGGTAAAAAACGGCCTAACTCCCTAACTATAACATCATTAGAAACGTGAAAGTAAGTCTGTCCGTTTTTCACGCCTAAATCGCCGAACCGATTTCGATAGATTTCGGTACAGTAGAGGGACGACGGGACCTCGGAGAAAAACATAGGCTACACTTCTGTGCCCAAAAAGGAAATCAGTTTCGTCGAACTGTGGTTTACCCTAGTGTGAAATGAAAACAAAATGAAAAACAAGACATAAATAATTAACAGAAACAAAATTGCCGTAACAACTATAATAGTAAACAGTAACTGGACCGTATGCGGTCTACTATTGGCTTGAAATAGGATGGACTACCTTGGTAACATGGATGAAAACGCATAAAAAAACTATGCGCTGAATACTGGGCGGGTATGTAATGATAAAGTGAAAACTACGTCAAACGTCATCTTTGAACCTTTGTATTTTTCGGTACAGTAACGACACTATACAGTACTATTATGTCCTCATAATTTTATGGTTATTATCTGGGCTGTGAATTTAATGCAGTGAACGACGCATTTAAAATGTCAAAAATTGCAATAGAAACATGACATATTAATTTTTGTTATATTTCTGAACGTCTAGGCACCCACGACCTACCCGACCGATTTTTTTTGTGAATCGCGTTATTCAAATGTAATTCCTTACCGCCGCCACCGGCACTGCAAATCATAGGGATTTAAAATCAACGCCATCACTTGTATGCTCAAATTCAAAATACAATAATTATAAATGACACTTTCCCCTTAAAATATACATAACTTGGTACGGATTACGATTTTGACATCTTGAGAGTTGAGATTGTCGCACTCCTGCCCACTTATAGTCCCTGCACAGTATGGTGAGTTGTGCAGCGAACTGTGAAAACCGTAAAACACCTCTCGTTCGGAACCATAATTATATCGTCACTCGCGAGCGGTTATGGCGACGCCCTCTTGTCGGAGAACGCAATGACCCGACGTCTCTCACGTCTACTAATATAGATGGCGCTATAGTAACGCATCTGAGACGATATTATTATGTTCCGCATTATTCCGTTACATGGTATTGACACGGATCAGTGGCGTGTTTTCAAGGGGGTTGGCGGGGAGATCCCCGGGTGTCGACACCCCCGGAAGAAAAAAATGGTTCGGAAATCACGAATGACTTGCTACGAAGGTATACAGAAAGCGAACATTAATTTATACAGGGCGATTTTTTTTTTTTTTATCATAAACCAGTAATTATCTCGGCAGATTTTAAATGAATTTGATTTCTATAAATTTTTCACCCTGACTCCGTGTACCTTAAATAAGAATAAACTATTGTTTTTCAAATGGGTAACCCCCTGCCCCGTTGTTGAACACATTCGTACGGGGAAGATTGAACGGTTTAGCACAGCGAGGGCGGACTGGGAGTATTTTGGCCCGGGCGGTGAAGGATATGAGAGACTAAACATTTTGTTTAACCCGTGAATACCGAATACCGACTATTACGGTAAGTACTTTTAATATCATTGTAAATTATCCTATATTTAAACGAATAGAGGAGTTCATAAATATTAATCAATAGAAAAAAAAAAAAAGAAAAAAAAAAATAGATAAAAAATAGATTATTAGTCGGGCCGGCAATCAGCATTGAATACCTACTCTACAAAAACATCTAACGTCTTACCTCCATTTGAACAAAACAAGTGGTGCTTTCTTTGTTTCCCGTCATTTCCAGCACCGTAAGTGTAACCCAGCGGCGGCTCGTCTCGGCACTTTTCAGCTCCGCGTTCATACGTTTGACCTTTGGATTCTTGACGTATAATTCTCGCCGTTTCGCAATCACAACGGCTCGGTGATTGTTTTTGAAAATGTGTCGCGCGACTCAACGAACAAAACAGAAAACCGAATCGCAATATCGCCACTCGTCGGCGTTGGCGTTATTATTCGCGTACGGCCGTCGGCCGTTGATCGCTGATAACGCGTTATCGTTGGCCGCGTCATTTTAAACCGCGGAGTTCGGTCAGGAGATTATGAAATATCGAATTTACGGGACCGTCGAACTCGACGAACGCGTACGGACACCGGAATCGGGCACCCGCGTTCGGACGGTTTCCGTTTTAACGCCGAACCAGTTCATCGTTCGCGTTATCCGGATTTAAAATGCGTTCTGTCCGTACGAATAAACTTGCGGAGGGGGGGGGAGGGGGTGAGGGGAAACATCGCGCGTGATGCACGCGACACACCGAATTATTAACGGTCCGTCCTGCAGGCCCGGCGACGGACTCGCCGGGCGAGAGCCTGCGGACGTATTATTTTGTCCGTTGTTTTTTCTACTCTTCTCGGCCTGTTACTGTCTCGGCCATAATATCATCGTACATCATAGCACGCCCGTTCTGTCGCAATGTAATTGTATTTTCCGTTGGGGCCTAACCCGCGGATCTTTGCCGCGGGCCCGGTCCGCTCGGACGACAGTCTACTCGACAATTGCGCGCGCGAACGTGAACGGCGTCGGTCGAAATACGCGCGCACATCATAACGAACGCGCGACCGGACAAGGGCGCGCGTATATCGCGTCGTTTCTTACCTCCCGAACACTGTAAACGCGCGAACGGCGCGCAATAAAAAAAAATTCACGGTTCGCGGGGCAGCGTTCGACCCTACCGTCCGTTCGGTCTCTCAAACGCGAAACACGTCGCGAATACGCGAGCGGCGCGGTTGCCAGGACCGCCCGCGCAAACAAACGGACACATCTCCACCAAACACGGTAAAAACAATGCTTACGCGGAATGCGTAGAACCGGCGCGATTTCGATTGTCCGGCGAGAGTACCGAGCGCGGAATTCGTACCGAACACAGTGTTCTGCTGGATGGAACGACACGTCGGTGTTTTCCGAACTGTTAACACGATTAACGTAAATATTATTGCGCACGAACTATTAAAATAAAAATTACAGTTATTGAAAAACGAAAGAAAACAATGGTTTGTATAGCTTTTATATCGAGCTGTGCGTTTTTGATTATACGAAAACCCCACGTCGTTCCCACCGAAATACTGTTCTCTGCGAATTTCGTAATCGGCACTCTTACTCTAAAATCAAGTTAGTTTTAGTCGTTGTTTTGTGTATGTTGCGCGGTACAACGTCCTCTTGAATGGCTACATTAAGTTCTACAAATAATTAATGTACCGGGCGTCGTTCAACGTACACGAGTATACGATGACATTATGATTGACGATTGTTAAAATCAAAAACGCACTAAACCACTATACACGTTAAAAACGATTATCTACGGAAATAGGTACTCATACAATATTATCATCCGGTTAATTAACGATGGCGGTATCTAGCGGCCAGACGTCGTACTGCCGTGAGCCGACCAATGACCGACGTGTAGCTGTTACGACGCGTCGTGTTGTTATCACATATTATCAAAAATATAAACATACACGCCGACAGGTGAATATTATTGTTAGTGACACATCAGCAACCTGTGAACGTCCAACGCAACTGCCACAACACACACTCATAACCGAGACGTTCCAACAACGTCCGCAATTCCCGATGTAATCCAATCGAATGCCGACCGCCGTCACACGTACACAGACTGCTTTCCCTCGGCCCTGTCTCCCACCAGCTACTGGCTAGTAGCTACAGTTGAAGGCGCGTATCCCGTCTGTTTGTACGTGGCACCCGTTCGACGCATTACAACTTCCAAGTGCTCCTGAGTACCCACGGTAAAACAATGGCGCCTACCAAAGGCAGAAAGTCCGCGGCCAACAAGAACTCGCCCATGTTAAGCCATGATTTCGTGATTCAAAATCATGCCGACATCGTGTCCTGTGTGGCTATGCTGCTCGTCATTGGGCTTATGGTTCAGGTGACTACCTTACACCGACAATGGGCCCGATTTCAATAATCCGTGTCTACAGATTGTATTTACCTATTTGTTTTTTTTTGTGTTACAGTTTACGTCGCCAATATCCTCGTTGTTTGTGGCCCTGCAATACGGCCAAACCAGCGATCCCAATACAAATGTCGTTTATACATATGGTACGGGCCCAAAAGATTTGTGTGCCGTCTTCTTCTATTTTCTCATTTGCATCATATTCCACGCTATCATTCAAGAATATGTTTTAGATGTAAGTGGCACGCTTTTTTTGTATACACAAAGTTTGGTACTTTTTAATTGAGGGGAACGCCATTTTCAGTCATTAAACATAATTTATCCATCCGTAACAGTATTTTCTGTTCGTAATATTTTTTTTTTTTTTACAAAAGGTACACAGAGAAATTAGTTACAATGTTGTGCTGTAGAAGTAAATATAATGATTGCATTTCATTTTCTCGACAAAATTGTTGTTTGGTTAGATTGAAATTTTGATAAAATTAGAAACTGAAAATTTAGATTGACATTGATACTGTTTTAAAACTATATTTCTATGATTAGTAAAAGTAACAATAAGCTCCTGTTTTTAATTAATATTACAAATCAATGAGTAATTTAAAGTTTCTGTTTATATTTCCAATAATACGATTTATCGAGTGGTTTTAGAGTAGAACAATGTAACGAACATTATATAGCAAAAGTTTTTCTAGAAATATATTTAAATTATCTTCTTCGTTAGTTTTACCGAACGTTTATTGAATTTTAAATAAAGAATAGGTATAGCCTGCAAAATATTTTGTATGTTTAACAAATCACTTTTACTCATATATCGAGAGACCCTTTAAATTATTTTTTTTTTTATCATACTTCACTTAGTATTTGTATTAGTCCATTTATTATGTTATAATGTCTACTTGTTGATAACATACATTGATTATGATTTTAAATTTATAATTTTTATTTTCTACAGAAAATTAGCCGTAAATTACATTTGTCAAAATCAAAGAATTCAAAATTCAACGAAATTGGTCAATTGGTTATATTCTATACAATTTCAATAATTTGGGCATTGGACATTATTGTGAAGTAAGAATTGTATTATAAGTTAATTCTGTTTTTTAAAATAGAATGTTACATTTTCTTTGTTTATAACTAGAATAGTTAAATAATATATCAAATTATATTTGTATGAAATGCTTTATAGAGGAAATTGGATCACTGATGTTACATTATTATGGGTTGGTTACCCAAACTACATACTGTCATTCTCAATCAAATTCTTTTATATAATCCAATTCGCTTACTGGGCGCACAATTTTCCTGAGCTATACTTTCAAAAAGTCAAGAAAGAAGATATGTTTAATAGAGTGAAATATTCCGTATTATACTTGGCATATATTTCATTTGTGTATATAACAAAGTAATTAAGACACATATTTAATAAATTAAAGTTAAAATTATTTTATTTTATTTTAATTTGTATATATTTCAGCTTCCATCGTACAGGTCTTGTAGTTTTGTTGTTATACTACATTTCTGTTTTTGTTAAGCTCGGTGTTACACTAGTAGACATAACAGAAAAAGAAGAAGATAGCCCAAAAGTCAAGTGTGAGTATATTACTTACCAATGTGCATCAAAAGAAAAGAAAATTAATATAATATTATGTTTTTAGTTGCACAAAAAGTGTATCACTGGGTATTTTCCCTTGTACAAATATCAATCTTGTTGTTGTCACAATATATGTGGTGGTTCGGTCTCAAATTTGTGCATTATACTGGAGGTGCGCGAGACTTTAACTACGGCACATTTAAATTAGTATGTTCGATTGGTTCATTGACTGTGCAAGCTCTGATTCTTAATGAATTATGTAATGAACTAAAGTTTACTGGCATCACTATAACTATTCCGCCTAGAATAATGAAGTTATTACCTAAATCTAAATCTCGTATTGATAATGCTAACAAAAAGCGTAAAATCACAAGTAAGTGATAATTAACTTTATCTTGTTGGATTTTAATAATTTATGTGGTATTGTTTTCAAGGTAACCGAAAATTCAACGAATTGACAGAAGCTGATCAGAACATTAAGAAAACGTTAAAAACCGCAGCAAAGAAAGCAGCTAAGACTAAGGGCTCTAAATAATTTTAATCGATATGTATTGTGTTGAGTCTGGTGTAACTTAATATGGTTTATCATGTTTAACAATCATATTTTGTGATACATTTGCGCAAGTCTAATAATAATTATTATTTATAATATTTTCTTCCTATATTATCTAAGTAAAATTTATTTTTATTTTACATTACAATGTTATATACTATGTATATAAAGAGCTTTTTGAATGTTGTGATTTATTTTATTTAAATCCTGTGTTGGTTTTTTTTTTTTTAATCATGATATATTGTTAAAATTTGATTTTATATTTTAGATTCTGAACACAGTGAGGAATCTATTAGTTTTATTATGTGTTTTTTTTTCAAATTCTTTATAAATTAATATTTACTTATATTAATAGAAATCAAATCAATTCCTTTTATAATTGAAACATAATATATAATATTGTATATAATAATTAAGAGACCTAGACTTATTGAATATTGTTAAGACACTAAAAAAAAAAAAAAAAAATCATTTACCCTTTATACCAGAACAACTGATATATACGAGTACAAATAATTAATATAGAGACTGTCAGAATATTCTTATATTATTATTGGTTATCAATATTAATATTTGTGATCAACAATATTACTGAGGCAAGGCGGAACAAAACTACTCACAGCATAATACACATTAAAAGCTTAGTTTACAGATTTATTATATTCATTAATTTGAACTTACTACTTACAGTAATGCCTTAGTAATTGTCAAGCAAAAATAACTAACCATTTTTATTTCATTTATTTATTACTCTATTATATTTTACTATTAACTGCTATTTTTGCCACATTGATATCATACATTTCTAATCATAATTATTTTTCCGTGTGTAAAATTGTATTTTTATTTTATTTTAAAATATATATATTATTCTATACGTAATTCCTTTTTTTGTTAAAATGTATTTTACACAATGATGATATAATCAAAAAAAAAAAATATCCAATAAATTTATCATTAAAACTGATGCAAAACTTGTAATTGATTACAATGCAACGTATTTAAAATACAATGTTTTAAATCAATAATATTTGGATCTAACATGTTCATGTAACTATGGAAACATTAAATGGCATTGCATCACTGATACATTATTTGTCCAATAGTATAAAATGAGCAGTGCATTTTTAATAAGATTTATATGAAACTAAATAAATTTTATACAAGATATTATCCACCGGGTGAGGATTTACATTTTTAAATTTATTTCTCTAAAATATTAATATGTAATTTCAATTGATATACAGGTATTATTATTGAATATCAAAAACAAAGAAAAACCAAACACAAGATTTTGGATTTATTTGATATTGAAAAAGAGTAAGTTTGACGTAATTTTGTAAAGAAAATAATAGTTTTAGTAAATAGACAGTATCCTGAACGTGAACAGTGTACATATTGCAATGCTCAGTTATACTGGAAGTTGAAACCTAGAATAGATTTTTAATTTTTGTAAATTAGAAAAAAAAATGAATAGCCGATTTTGTGTTAAGCTCAATTTTTCTAAACAAATAGTATTTGCCCTCATAAAATAAATTAAATATTTATCGTTGTCATTGCTTTAAGATAAACCCACTATTGCAGGTAAGGAAGTATAATACAAAGGGTAATTTATTTATCTAGTTTATATACTGTATACGACAATAAATCATTACAATCAAAAAACAATTCTGAGAGGTGTTTTGTTAAAATTATTTTGATAAATATGAAATCAAAATTAGTAAGCACAAAATAACTAATACTACAGTATATACAGTAATACTACACCTACAAATTGTTTGTGTATTTAACAAATATTTTCATAAATTTAAACTTATTAGAAAGATTTTTCAATTATTTATTTAAAATTGTTTGGAGTTCATATGTATAACAATTGTTATAACTATTTAACCACATTTCCATTATAACAGGTCTATTAGAGCACCATTATAGTAAGAAAACACAATTTGTGTATATTGCACGTTTGATAGACAGAAATGGCAAATGTAACTGACGCCCTAATAACTATATTGACTAAAAATTCTTAACAAGTTGAAAAATAATATATTTAAAAAAAAAACGAAAGTTAAATTTAAATTTTAAAATCAATATTTGTTATATAGTATCGATAGAATTAAAAATGACAATACAAGCATCTAATTTCGAAATTAGGACGGACGTAGTAGGACTAGCTACAAGGATAGCGAGCGATGAACCGTTGGTAACTCCAAAAATATTGCCTCAACTTGAAGCGGTTTTGCGTAAACTCAAAGACAAATCATCAGACAACTGGGACAGCGTTCGAGGGCAGTTTTCTGTCGACAAGTCTCTGAGCGGCGGTCACTTATTGCCAATTACAAACGTATCAATCGACAAACACGGAGACATGTGAGTATTCAATTGATGAACCACTTAAAAACTAATGGATCGGTGATATTCTGAACGAATATTTAGCGTGGTCCCAAAAATCAACTTTAATTATTATATAATTATTCGATTTAAAAGTAAATATGTGCTAATGGCCCATCGAGTTTAATATACTCATACTCATAAGTCTGCCCCCCCCCCCCAAAGAAAAAAGGAATAGTTCTTTTGTAATAGGCCTTGCCAAATGTCCATTACCAATAATCAATATATGACTAATGCGTGTGCGTGAATAATTTTTTAAAACGCACAAAGATGCGCCACCGGAAGCTACGATCGGACATGCAAGATTTGGAACACGAGGACGGGCACAATGAACGTGACGTTGGCGGGACACGAGGACGCCGTGTACACCATGTCATTGGCCATCCCTGAAAGGCTAGTTCCGTTTGCACACATTAGGTTGAACGAGGTCGGGTAAAGCATTACCCAACCTGACCTAACCTGACGGTATATGAAGTTAACCGTCTGAACACAATTTTTCTAGAGTGCTGACCGGATCGTTTGACAAGACTGCGCGTTGGTGGTCACTACGGGAAGACGACGGCGGAGAGTGCTTGTGTGTGATGCGTGGACACACGGCCCAAATTGTCGCCGTGGATGTTACCAGACCCGGACAGATGGTAGCCACGTCGTCCATTGACCGAACTACCAGACTGTTTAGCGCCGCAACGGGTATGTCAAGATATTATTATTTGTAAATCTGCGGCATTAATCATGATGGTAAATAGGCTCAAATAGGGATTAAACTAAATCCAAAAATAGTGGAACACTCAAACTTCAGTTTTATTTCAAATTGGTAAAAATCTCTATAGAGTTGGGGGAAAGGGTGGATTTATTTTTTGTCTAGATAAAATTGATACTTAGATCCTGGAAATTACATAGGTAGGTACCTATTTATTTCTTTATTTATTCAAATATACTGATAGACAGTCCTATTACAAATTAGCAAAATCTAAGTTAACTATAAAGTTGATATAACAGAAATACAAATAAAGGAAAAAAGTTTAAGATAAAGACTGCCAAGTATATTCAAAAATACATTTATTACCTGTTGTTATTAAAAAGTTAACCGGCGAGTTGAATATATAATAATATAATATATATTTTTTATTGGTAAAAAACTGATAGAAAGGTTTTAGATTTCTTATATTTAGGGAATTAATTTTAAAGTGAATAAGAGAGGGCATTTCAGGTCAATCAATAGTCCTTAGTACTAAATTATCTAGGAATCATGAACGCAGGGATGAACACCTGTTAATAAGTGGAGATAAAGTAAAAAAGTTAAGAACATTTTGGTATGACCAGTGGGTTGATCTAAGAATGTTAAATTTGAAGGATACAAAGTGTAAAAAACTTATTCTGCAGATTCTTGTTGTTTAAAAACAAAATATTCTCAGGACAAAATTTGGCTACGCTAAGTGAACATACCGGAGAAGTGGTAGCCAATCAGTTTGACAATAGTGGATCAACTGTGATTACCGGATCTTTTGACAGTACTGTGAAAATTTGGGATACTCGAACTGCTAGGTAAGTAGGTGGTGGATTAACGATTCTTGAATAATTCAACGAATATTATTCGTTTAGATGTATTGCTACATTATTTGGTCATACGGCAGAATTGAGTGTTTGTTGCTACGATTTTGGTTGTCATATGATTGCCAGTGGTTCGTTGGACTGTACAGCCAAATTGTGGGATGTACGAAGAACTGATTGTTGTCGAGATACTATTGGTGGCCATACAGACGAGGTTCTGAAATTCAACCTTGTATTATTAGTATTATAAAATCAAGACATTTAGATATCATAATAATGTGTTTTAACATGTTTTAGGTTCTGGATGTTAGTTTTGATTCAGTTGGTCGTCGATTAGCCACAGCAAGTAGTGATAATAGTGCATGTATCTGGGACGTTAACAGTGGTGACTTGATTACCGCAATGATTGGACATACTGATGAAGTGTCTAAAGTATTTAACTAAATATAATTAAAAAGAGATAATTGCATGCTATAATTTTAGGTGGTTTGGGAACCAGCTGGACATCACTTGCTTACCACATCACAAGATCATATCTCTATGTTTTGGAACACAGAAACTGGAGAATGTTTACAAGAACTAAAGGGGCATAAAGATCATGTTTTCTCAGCTGAAATAAGCTATTTAGGAGATACAATTTTGACTGCTTCTAAAGATAACACTTGTGTTATCTGGCGACAATCCAATTCAAAAATAAATTGAAAAATGTGTTTATTTTCAACTACAAAATTAATTATATTGTTCATATTTCGTAAGATTTTTAACATCCATTTAAATTTAAAACGCTTATACCTGCAATCCTCACTTGAATATTGGAAAGGGCCAAATATTAATATTGAAATACTCGTCGGCTGTACACATTTTTTTTATACCGCAACATTATTACAGTACAATCATTTATTTTTTTAATATATCTAATTTATCTTCTCTTTTATTAGAAAAGAGACAATAATTTTTAATAACCACCAATGTAAACATTGATTTTTAAACTAAGTTTATAAGATAATTGACCAATCGTGGTCGGTTATCAGTCATAAACTCAGTTTAAAAGTCAGACAAATGTTTTTTTTTAAGTTGGTCAGAATGGCCCTTATAGTATGACACCAATTAGCGAAATCAAGGCTATATTGTATATTCACAAAGTTATGCCGAGTTTATTCTCATAAAGATTTCATATCATCTGTGAAACATAGTAGTTTACAGAAAACCACTATATAAATTCAATAGATACTAGATAGCATCATGTTTTTTATTAAGAATACAGATAAGTTCAATGGCCCGAATGCCTTGAAAATTCTGTGTTAATGTTCGATTTTACTTTTTGACACCATTTAAAATTTAAATTGATTAAAATCATACATTAAATACTTTATTTTATTTATTTAATAGTAATAATTATTCATTAGAATTTTGCGATTTTATAATGTATAATATAGTTGTAGTGTAGGTCTTACATAATTTAAACATTACATAGACTGCATAGTAGGTACCACTGGCTTACACAAATAAATTATCAATTACAGTATTAAGTTAAACTTTTTTTTAACTACTTATAACAATTAATGATGAACCTTATATCAAATTAGAGAAAAATTATTTGAAACAAGAAAAGTTTAATTCACAAAAAATTGGAAAATAGTATGAAAAAATTTTTAATTTCTATAATTTTCTTCGAAATCTGAACATTTCAAAACTCTACAATTATTTTTTTACCAGAGTAAAAAAAAAGAACATCAAAATTAGGAAAAACCGTTATTGCGGAACATGCAAATTTTTTTCAATTACAAGTGAAAATATAATGAATAAAACACAAAAATGCTCCTGAATGCACTCATAAATCAAAACCACCCTTGAAATTGATTAGGGTTAGTTTTTTGGTAGAAAACTTATTCGTGGACAGAAAAAACAGAATTAATACAAACAGAAAAGAATCACACACCATAATGGAACGTATTAGTTTTACTCGGGGTTCCACTAATACATTTCTTGATTCTTTGAGATGAAAAATGCATAATATACTTACAATTCTAGTAGATATAATTTAAAATTGCTAAATGGAAATCGAGTATAAAAATTTAAAATAAATGAGACTTTGTACAGACATCATTTTATATTTTTTTTATGTTAAAAACTGCCATCCTTGAACTGACCCATCATCCGCAGCTGACAATAGTGTGTTACTCCCACACTTTGGTAGCCATAAAGTACTACTTGTTCTAATTTTACTTCGTCCCAAATCATCTTCTTCATTAAATAGATGTCCTTCGTGTTTAAATTTGCGTACTATAATTTTATTACCTTTTATTTCTTTTTCTTCTATTATATACACATTGCCATCAAATCCATTAACAGCAATTGTCTGTACACTACATGAATCAAAATTAATGTTTATATCGTTATTACACCTTGTAAAACAATCTTTTTGATGAATTGTTGGTATTTTACAATTTCTTAAATCATAATTAAGGAGAGTTCCAGAATTAGCAATTAATGTTAAATTGAAAGTACTTGTCTCTTTATAGCTGGAGTACATGGTGTTTGAAAACCACTTTGCATTATTATCGGTCACTAGAACATCAAAAAAAAAAATAAAAAATAATCACATAAAATCAATTGACTTATTGTTGATACTAATAAATACACACCAGGTAAATTAATTTTGTCTAAATGTTCACCACTAGTCAAATCATACAAGTCAAAAGATCCATTTTCTGAATTTAGTACGACTAATTCATTGTTAGACATGAAGTATGGTACATAACTGCACATTGGATTATTAGATTCATTTTCAAATGCTAATATTCGCTTGTTGTTTTCGATGTCATATACATCACCAATAGGATATACGTTTTCTTTTCCCCAGATTATTATGGTGCTAGTTGTAATATCAACAGCTAAACGTCCACTATCTATTTTGCTTTCAATACTCCGCAGTGGAATCATTTGATCTAAAATGTAGATAATATATTATAGGTACATTAGTTAATTCAAGACAAAGCCCATCGCTTTTGGTACTTGCCTGATTGATGGAAATCCATTTTGTAAATTGAAATTTTACCAACTCCTTTTTCAGATAAAATTACTTTAGACATACCATAGAGAGGTTTCATCTGTTTAAATAAAATGAAACATCAAATAATTTCTCCAATGAGAATTTCAACAAAAATGTACTAAAATTTAACTTGTATTTACATCTATTAATGGTTCATTAGTTAAAGTGCCACATTTTATTTTCAAATCCCTTCTGGTGTTTATTGAATCATATTCATTTGCTAACTGAAAAAGCTTATTGGGAATTTCAAAATTCAACACTTCATATTTATCTTGTTCGGGTTTTTTGCACGCTAAACATACTGAGTAATTATCACTGGATTCCATAGAGATGACTGGTTTATCCAGAGAAAACATTTGTAGCTTATGATACCTAATGAAACGTTTATTTCAAAAATATAGGTTCGAAAATGAGTTTGATGAAAAACGTTACTTACCTGTTATATGAATTAATCAACCAATCGTCAAATAATTGTCCGTATACCTCCGCCATTTTGTCGCTTCTTTTTAAATAATCGTTTGAAATATTCCTTATAATGTGTTAATAATTCCACGTCTAAATTTCGCACTTTGAAATCAGTGAAAATCCTAATCGTTATACCATGACTAAGCAGTCATGAATAGTGTATTCCGCAAAAATGGCGTACCTTCCGCGGTTCGGCTAGCGATGTTTGATAATAAAGCCCGGTGAAATTCCGTTTTGCAGACAGTGTTGCCTATACAACCCCTGATTCGTACTCCTAATGGTTTAATAAGTTACCAACCCGACATCTAAATATTAACTCCTTAACCAATCGCATTGCCCGCGTCCAATTCTGTACATATGTTGCGTACCCAGATCCCGAAATTGTTCAACGTGCCCGTCTCGCTCTCGAAATGTTTTTATTGCTGTTTGAACAAAATCTATTTCTACACCAAACATAGTAGGTAAGTCGTAGGTGTTTACGGTATGTGTAAGTACGCACAAAAATATTGGTCATTGTTCAGTTCTGGGTTTTCGTGTATGTTTGCACAATTAACTGTAAAATAATATTTTTATTTTATTCGTTCGGTGACCTAGTAGGTGCTTTTACCTATAAAAAGTTAATGTCATTATCAATGACAATATTATGTGTGGTTTGTAGCCGTTAAACGATTAAACCATTTTGAAAGTAAATATTTTACATGTTAATAATTAGATTAGATGTATAAAGTGACACGGGAATTGTAATTTTTTATGATGTGAATGAGTTATTTTCAAAGGTATTGTTTTTTGTAAACAAGTCTTAACAAACAAAATCAATAATAAACTTCTTTCCTTTTACTGTCTACAATGCAATACTTCCAGAGTGGGACCGTTTTACGTATGAACGCCGCCCGTCTACTACCGTGAGCCCCCGTCATTTTTCGCGAGCCGACTTGCCGCAATTTTCAGTACAGATGCAAAATCTGCTTTTCTTCCCCGACAGTTTAGTCTAGATTAGACAGCGGCGACGGACTTGTAAGTGTTATTAAATTACAAATAAAAGACGATATTTTAGATCGATCGTGTGGTTTACGGTCAACAACAGCAATTGGACATTTTGAAAAAAAAAAATCCATTCAAATACAATGTACACTGTATTAAACTATTACAATTTGTATTGAATCTCGGTATAACTGTTAATCATTTAATACAGTTTAAATTAATTAAGTACCTATAGTCGTTAGTCATGAGGACAGTTTAAACTGAATTATAGTCACGGTTTATTTTATTTACCTATTTATTTCTATTTCAATTTTTAAAGTAATAATGATTTGTGATTTGATAATTAAAAATTAAAGTGTTTTAGTTTTTTCACGACAGGTATATAAAAATATAATATCGTGATGATAGCCTATAGATTATGAATATGACCGCGAGATCGCGTTAAAGGATAGTAAATTATCATAAGCATTTTCTCCTGTCTCTGGACATTGTTCGTTCTATCTTGAACCGTGTTTAATTGTTTCAACCACGGTTATGGACAGACTATCTATCTATAACTGTGGTTTAAACCAAAGATAATAATATTTTATTATCTATGGCACCATACTTTTGATAATTTGATTATAATAATATTATATAATAAATTTGAATATTATGATTTTGGTAACATAAATTACCAAAATAATTAGAACTCGGTGTAGTGTTATTTAATGTTTATTTTAAATTTTTAAGAAAAATGTAAAGATTTATTTTTAATCAAATATGTAAACGCCCTGATTTACATTTTAAATCTGTAATGTATCTATTAATGTTTCTTGATTTTATCCCTATTAAAACGTTACTTTAGTTATTTAACTGTAAGTAAATATTTTATTTAAAATTGTTAAGAATTTTTCATAGTATATACAATAGTTTATATTATATTAATGGATTTAAAAAGTATATTAAACACATTTCCTTCAAAATACTTTGTTTATTGCTTTGCATATGGATCCGGTGTGTTTCAACAAGCCGGTCGTACAGATCGAGCAATGGTGGACTTGATATTTGTTGTGAACAATACATATGATTTTCATCGCAACAATTTAATAGTCAATCCAGATCATTATTCAGCACTTCGTTGGCTTGGAGCATCTGTCATATCAAGTATTCAAACTTCATTTGGCGCTAATGTGTATTTCAATACGCATGTCAGAGTCGGTGATTTAAAATTCAAGTACGGTGTAATAGATGTGAACGATTTTTGTCAGGATTTGCAATCGTGGTGCACTCTTTATATTGCTGGCCGACTTCATAAACCTGTACTAACGTTACACGATGTAGGACTAAGTGACTTGGTCATGTGTAATCTAAAAAGTGCAGTGCATGCTGCATTACTACAGTTACCCGACAAGTTTTCAGAGCAAGACCTGTACACTACAATATCGGGTCTATCATATCGAGGAGATTTCCGTATGATCATTGGTGAAGACAAAAACAAAGTCGCAAACATTGTTCAGCCCCAAATGGAGCAGTTTAGAATGCTTTACACACCAGTTTTTACATTAATGAGTGACAGGCTGCTTTTTATAAATTCATTTGTAGAGCAAGACAAGAGTGTAGAAAGTAAATTTTATCATTTACAAAGGTTACCAAAAAATGTGAAGAATTTTTTACTTAGGTCTTACAATAAGAAATGTGACAATGAGAATAGTGTGTTACAAGGACTAGCAAAGCAAGATGATGTTGGTAAAATTGTAAGCAATAGTATTTATAGAATAGTATTTTTTTCGAGTCTTGTACAAAGTATTAAAGGAATACCAACAGCTGGTCTACTAAAATCTGTTGTTTATAGTTATAATAAGTTAAATAAAATGGTGAAATCTATGTTCTTATAATACAAGTTAAGACAATTATTTTAATTTATTATAGTTACCGTTTTTGGTATAGTGATAGGGCTATTATATTATTGTATTAAGTAGTTAAAATGACATGAAACATAAATACAGATGAATGTTTTATCATAGATTACATATTGTTTTTATTTTAATTTAATTTATGGTATAATGGGCTTGCGCCCAGATAGAATAAAAATACAAGTGATAACTTATTTTTAACTTAAATCATAACATATACTTTTAAAAGCAATATAGTTTTTATATTATTTATTTACTACCCACATTGATATGTTAATTTAATAATTTACAATATATTAATAGTTAGGTTTGTTTCAATTTTTAAAATGCTATTCCTTATAATTTAATATTTAATAAAAACGAATATAATAATAAATTATAATCGCAAAAAGATGGGTTAGCTCCTTTAAGTGCTCTTTTATCTAAAATTTACAATCAAAATTATAAAACCAACAATGTTATTAACAACAAAATATGCAGTCCATGTATAGAAGCATATTATAGATATGTTAATGACTTGTTAATTTTATTTAGAGGTTCAAATAGACAAGCAGAAAATTTAGTTAACTACTTAAACAAAATAAATAAAAACATTCAATTTACACTCGAAATACAAATTAATAATAAATTAAATTTCTTAGATTTTACAGTTTCCATAATGAACAATAAATTTGATTTTAGTATTTTCAAGAAACCTACACAAACTGATACTCTACCACATGATTCTAATCACTCTTATTCTCAACAAATATAATTTTTTAATTCAATATTCTATAGGCTTTAACGTGTTTCATTTAATAAATATAATTATCAACACGAACTCAGTATTATCTAAAATATAGCTCATAGAAATAATTTCAATTTAAATACTATTAAACAAATTTAAAAACATAGTAAAGAAAAAATAATACGTTTAACAAATCCGCTGAAATTCTGAACAGTTATACAAATAATGTAAAAATCACTTTTAAGACTAATAATAATTTAATCAAACATATAAACCATAGAACTAAAAAACTTCATAAAAAATCTTCCTTTTGAAAATGCTAGTATAAATAAACATAAATTTAACTGTAATAAATTTTATATAGGTAAGAAAAATAGAAATTTTAAAATGTATATAAAGAATACATTTTTGAAATAAAATTAAAAAAGACTGCTCCTAATTCATATTTCGCTTAACATGTTTTAAAAAATAAATGTAAGTTTTGATATTAATACAGACATAGAAATATTAATACAATGAAATAAAGAAAAATAATTTTAATAATATTTTAAACGTTTAAACCGATTTTAAAAATATCTTATATCAGTACATTTTAGATAATAAATAATAACCAAATAATATATATTTCTCAATGCATTATTTATGTCTAATAATAATTAATTTTAAATAATCTCTCCTGTTAAAATAAAATATTTCAATATCCTATTTAAAACGATCAATTGTATAATTTTTTTTTCTTTGTATTCCTTCATTTAATTTTGTTTATTCAGTCGTGTTTTACATTTTGACTGTGATATACCTGATGATGAATTTTCAATTCAAAACCAGTCGTATAATACTCCAGGTGACGCGTTCATTCATTTATTTATTTTATTTTTGTGTATACATTTTTTGTTTATATATTTATTTACTTTTTTTAATAAATATTGTTGTGCGTACGGATATATTTTTTTATTTTTTCGAAGTGTTGATAAATAAATAACAAAAATTAAATCAATTCTGTATTTAAATGTATGTTTGTACCTAAGTATTGGAACAATGTATAATACATACCTATTCAAATGACTAGTATTATATTCGTGTATAAAATAACACGTGTTTTATCATTAACCTATCCCTAGCTTCTGTTTAAACACAGAAACTATAAACAATTATTTGTTGAAGTCAATAAATGACTTTTACCATCAATACCACAAACTTTAAAGAGAAGAAAAAAAAATTGTTTTGTAACATATGTTTTAATAATACCTGTTTTATAATGTTTTTATTTCTATTACCTACCAAATATTATGTACACAATATTAAATTATCAAACACAACCTAAAATTGTAATAATACTATTTATATAGTAAATAACTTGTTTTCCTTATTATTTTCTTATTAAGTATTAATCATTTAATACACACTGAGTACCTATTAAAGAAGTTTATTTGCCTTGTTTTAATCGTTAGATAGGAATTGGTTAAATACGATACAGTATGTTCAATACAGTGAAACCTCTATATAATGGACAGCCACGGGAAATTAAAAAACATTCACTATAGGGAATTGTCCACTGTTGAAAAAACCTCTACATTGTGGACATTTGCGATAAATTACAAAACGTCAATTATGGGGAGGTGCTATAGAGAATTGGTTATGCATATACATACACATTAAAATTGGTATTATTTATTATAATTTAAAAAATGTATTAATTGTTTATTATAATATGATTAATATTAAGTTTAATTTGTATTTAATATGTAATCTTTATTTGTGTACATTTTTTTAGCACACAACTGATGACCGAACACATAACCGAACAATTTGTCATTTATCAAATAGGAAACCATTAAGAAGACGTTATACCCGCATCTACTGTTTCAGTCTGCAACTACCGAGTAAAATGCAAAAACAATGCTTACGCAGAATAAGTAAAACTAGTTTAATTTTGATTTTAGAATAAAAGTGCCTATTATGAAATTTATAGAGAACAATATTTTGGAGGGAATGTTGTAGGGTTTTTGTATTATTTAAATTATACAGCTCGATATAAAAGACACAAAAACCTTTTTTTTTTTTTTCCTTTTTAATAATTCATAATTCAAAAACCACCCATGACAATTACTCCAAAATATTATTCTCTATAAATTTCATAATATATATATGTAGTATTTTTATTACTTAAACATTTTCGATATGTACATGTATTGTGTCCATTTATAAGAGGTAATTTGTAATTTTGGTACTAGTTTTTAGTGTCCACTATTAAGAGGTTATACTTATAACTCCTATTATGCACTGTACATACATTTTCGCCGAGTAATTTGAAAGTGTAGGGAAGGATCCACTATTGAGAGGTGGCCATTAAACTGTGGTAATATCTGCGATTATTTTGGTGGTAGTAATAGATTTGTTTTTTTGTGTGACGTAAACTATTTTTTTTTATGAACAGGTATCTATACCTAAGTACCTACTCGTAGAGAGCCTATATAAGAGCCCGTATAGGCTCTCTACCTACTCGTATAGGTAATAATAAGGTCGTTTGATTAATGGATTATTGGTATTCATACCTATTTATTTAAATTCGTGAATTATAAGCCGTTGATTACAGCTGATAGGTATAGATATTAGATAACATAGTTAATGTTGAAAACATTTTGGCCAGATAATATGATGGCTTACGTATTAGGTTTTCGGTAGGTACAGTGTTGGGTTATCACGCATCGTTTTTGTTTTTATAAGCATCGATTTAATTTTTTTTTTTTTATAAGGTTCGCATCCGTTCCGATTTTTTTTTTTTTAATTATTGTTTTCTTTCGATATTATAGGTAGGTGCTCGTATTTATATATTATGTAAATGTGTAACCGTGTTATTTGTTATTTGTGACACCACACGCCCGGGTTATAGGATTATCATATGTTCCGGAAATCCGGGATTGTTATCAGTTTTTGCCTTGGTATACCGATGTCTCGAAAATAAATTACAATTTATGTAATTATTGTAATACAATCCGATTTTGAGAAAATATTAATATTATTTAATTTTAACGAATTTTTATGTTAACGAATACAAGTTAAAATATTAACATAATGCCAAATCCTGAAGGGCCTGTACTAAAATCGTTTTTTTTTTTTTTTAATCTGAAGAAAACTTCCAAAAATACTATTCAACACATTTGATTGTCTGATGTGTGAAACATACATGTGGTTTTTATATACACAGCTCGTTATTTTTAACACGAACATTTTCTACTGATTGATAAATCTAAAACGAGTATAATTGAACTATAAGAATTAAGTAGGTATTATTTTAGAAAACTTAAAGGTGTAAAGGCTGTACCGTTTTCTTTTTAGTGATATACCTATTTACCTTGACAATACCTTTTAGATTCTGAGTTGAACGAGGAATGTATTGATTTTACAATAATGTTTATATTATTTTTTCCGTGAAAACTTTTCTACCAGCAGTTTTGTTCCGATTTACAATGATAGCACTTTTTCTAAAAGGAAATCTGAATGGGAAGGTACTTTAGAGAGGTCATTTTTCGATTTTTCTAGAAGCTTTCTCAAGAAATGTGAAAAATCGGAAAAATAGGTACAATATTTAACAAATATTATTAAAGAAAATATATAATGCATATATGTAATTATTTTACTATAATATGACATATTTATTGTTGACAAAGTAACACAATAGCGGAGTTCTGTTAATAAACAGAACTCCGCTCAGAATCGTTTATTCATTAGCAATGGGTCATCGTTGCATACAGACATTGTACATTGAATTCCCGTTCTATTGAGTTCCCAATTTCTCGCCTGTAACAGGAGCTGCACCCGTTCCAATTATCTCAGGCCAGCTTTTTTATATATATATATACATTCATTATATTTTTTAGTTCAGTATACTGACATGGTCAAATCCGGCGATAAAACGGAAACGGGTGGTCACGAAGGTTCTCCGCGACGGACTAGTTGGCGCGCCTTTTGTATACACGAGTATCGTTTAACGTTGGAACGGCGCCATTGTGGTTTTGGCGACCCTAAATTAAAATGACCTATTCTCGGGTGGCTGCAGCAGAAAAAAAAACCATCCAAATGAGTACGTAGATATGCACGACGCGGTTTTGCAATTATTATTAAAACTAATGTCGTTTTTTCAATTATTGCTGTCGAGACTGTCTCGTCAGCAGTGTAGTAATTAGAACTTTGATACTCGTGGCAAAATATTGTATTAAGGTCTTAAAGGACGAACCGATATTCAAAAAGGTCCTCATCGGTTCAATAATGCTTTGGTCTAAGCCACTACTAGGGTCTTCATCTGTTAAGGGTCCGTGGCGTTTAGCAACTGGTATTTACGCCACTGTTCGTCGGGTACGGAAAATAGGGATAGTATTCTCTATTAAAATCTGTGTTCAAAAGGGGGGGGGGGTTCCTTTTTGAAAATCAAAAGTAGGTACTTATTTAAGGTTTTTACAGTAGAGGTAATAATTGAAAATGGTTTAAAAAAAAAGCTTGAACGATTCCATAATGATTAGAAAAAACAGAAATCAAATTCACATAAAATCCTCAGAAATAATTTCTAGTTCGATAGAAAAATCATTTTGTATACATAGTTACATTGCGGACACGTAGTCATATTATATTTATAATTCATTGGATAAACTTTGTGTGGATCACACCCCTCTCCCACACAGATCTGTGTATTAAATTCTGAGTGTAGTAAAGAAGGTATCGGTGTTATTGAGATATTATAATGAGATCAATAATATCAATGGTTTTTTTTTTATTATGGAATACACTTTCGATCAGTAAAAAGTAATACCCTATATTAAGATACACATTTTTCAGTCAATGGTACTTGAAATTAACATTTTTTTTTTTTTTTTTTTTTTTTTTTGGAAATTCCCAATATTAATATGTTAAGCGAATATTTTGTATGGCACTGGTACATATAGTCACTATAGAGTTATTATGTCTTGTGACCTATAACCATTGTAAAACTAAAATAAGTTATCGATCAATACATTTACAAACACCGATAAACACACATCAAACAATACATCAAGTTTTTCATTTCAAAAATATATATATATATTTATTAAATAATATTTTCATATATAAATTATGTACAACATATCTTAAATATTATTTTTTATTTATAATTATGTATGTAACATACACATCAATATTTATATTCAATAAATCTATTATAGTTACTACCCTAAAAAAATGATATAATAATAATATATTATGCAATACAAAATAGACTATTAAATAATCTTTTCTTTTCGGTTTAAATAATTTTTAATTTTTTTTTTTTTCGAGAAAGATGAGAGATCAATAAATAATAATTTTAAACCTCTACAAAACAACATACAATCAATGAAAATTGTTTCCAAAAAAAAAAAAAACAAATTCTTAAAGTTTTTACCCGTGAGTTTACAACAAGTGAGCTTAAGGTACATAAACTCTTAAATAAAATATTTTATAAAATGTATTTTCATTAAACCCTGAACATGAGACCACATCTTATAATAATACTACTAAAAAATACAACAAGAAAAAATAATTTTAACGTTATTAATACAACATTTTTAACTATATACGAGTAATGTAGCATGGTCACCATGCAAATATCGTTAACAATGACAATTTATATACATTCCTCTTTTGCATGTTTGCATTACAAACAATTTTGATAACAAACAATTTCATAAACAAACAGCACACTATGTTTCTCATATTACTAAAGCAAGTAAACCAGAAAAATAAAGTTTCACCCATACATGTAAATATGCAGAAACATTTTTTAATGATTTGTTTTTGCACGGTTCTACACAATTTACACTATCGATACAAACAAAAAATAATATATATGTATATTACATACTTTAAGGATTGATTTGTTGAGGAATGTTAACTTAAAACTAAAAATGTATTGAAGACAACAGCTATATACATATATGTATAATATAATTATATAAAATGAATATAAAAAACAAGTCTCATTTTATTGAATGAAAAAAAAAAAAAACGATATATTTTTTTTTGTTAAATTACCCATCACAAGTTAAATTTAAATTGTTTGATTGAACAAATTTGGGTATCACATTTTCGTTGTACAATTATAATAATATATTATATATTTAAATATATATATTAATTTATATAAATATGTAGAGAGTTGGCCATACGCCACTGAAAGACATAACAGCATATACAATTCGGATAATCCAGTCAAATAATATTAAGGTTAATAAATCTACTTAGTAATACAACTTATGAGGTATTAAATTATATAATTAAAAAATAATAATAAATTTATTTTAATAGAAATATTTACATAAATCAACAAATTATAACAACATATTCTTTAAATTATAATTATTTTTTATCAAATTTTAATTTTCTAAACTGAGGAAGACACTTGTTTTTATCAATCACCTATTTGCTTATACTTAATAAAAAAAAAAAAATCTTAACATATTGGGCAATACATAATTGTATAAAAATATAATCCAAAGTCTCAGACATGTTTTTCTCGCACAAACTTTAACTGGTCAACATTTTGTGTAATGTCAGTCAAATTTATTTTAATTTTTTGAATATATATGTATATATATAAAAAAAAAAAACATAATATCCTACTGGTAACGTAACATTCTGTCAATGCAAAATATCATAATCGTTGCGCTATAATGTATTTCGTTGTGCGACAGTCTTAAGTGATGTGTCATCGGCGCAGTCTGGACACTGTTAATAACTCAATATTAAAATTAAATTTCTGTATTTAGGATATATTTAAATACCCTGTTTAAATTGCACCCCGAACATACCATTAGGAATTAGGTATGGAAACAGTTCGTGGTTAGCGTACAAATTAAAACATTCAACTGGTAACATAATTAGAAAAAATATAACTATATCTATATAATAAACACTTTTTCTTTGAGTAAAACTTGTAAACGCTGAATCAATTTAGGCGCACGGTGGGGGAGAAGGGATTAAAGAGACCATGTTAAGAAGCTTGTTCGAGTTTAACAGTCGTTTTAGCTATTTCAGAAGACACAGGTGGTGTCATTGAAGTAGACATGTTGAGCTGTAATTGCATTGATGAACTGGTCGCTGAAGTCGACAAATCTTGAGGGCCTTCTTGCCACGAGGTGGGTGGGCATGGCATGCTCAAGTCAGTTGGTTTGTAATCTTCGTCAGACATATCTCCCGTTGTTGATTCGAGTTTAGCAGTAGTCGTGGTAGGTGTTTGTGGCGAAGATGCCATTTGTTGGCGCAAAAGTGATATATTTTTTATGCATTTCAATTCACTCGGATTACGAAGAAACCTACACACAAAAAAAGAAAACAAATTTTGTTAAAAACAGTTACAATAATTAGCCAAAATTAACAACAATTCACTTACTGGTAACAATGTCTTTCACCCTGGACCTTCCTGAGAATGTTTACCCTATAATAATAACGTAACGCTCGGGACATTTTATCATAATTCATAGACAAGTGATTCTTCTGGATGCCCCAAAGTTTGGCAAGACCTGGAGGGTCGACGATCTTAAATACTCCCATTTCTTGATTTTTCCAAGCTATAAAACTGGTGAAACGTTGATGGGTGTCATTTAATAACTGCTGGAGAAAATCCCACAACAGACGACCATCTGAAAACAATTGTGTTTAATATAATATCCATTGATAAATCTGTTTTGAATGGAGAAAACGAATAAATATACATACTCGTGTTTGGTTCGATTGAGTTTGAATCGCCGGACGGAAAGAATATATTTCCATTGGATTGTTTGGGTGTGGAAGGAGAGTATGGCGGTGGTGATGTGGATGATGATGGCGTGGTAGGCGTGGGCGGTGGCGGCAGATTTAGTGTTCCGCTACTAGCCGACGATTCTTCTGGGTCCGAATCTGATTGATTGCTGCCACCGGAGCTTGTGCCACCGTTGTTCGAGTACCCTGTGTGTAAAAAAAAAAAAAATTATAAATCGGTAAACAGGAAATAAAATCAATAATGTCAAACAGACGGTTTTCGGTGAACACTTACCGATTGGCTGGGTAGTTGGAAATATAGATACACTAGGTGTGAGATGATGGCCGACTGAGGTGGGCGGTTGTTGGTAGTCCATGTGCCGAGGGCTTTCCGACTGGCTGTCTATGGAAGGTGCCGGGCTGAGAACGGCCGGCGAAGACGGTGCCGGGGGAAGGCACCAAGTGGGGCTGAACGGAAAGTGCGAAGCAACAGGGCTGCTGGGCATGTGCCCGGCGCTGCCGGTGCCGATCATATCGCCACCGCGTCGCAACAGTTGTAGCACGTTGTAAAGAAGGTCACCGGCGGGCGGACACCGTTCGCCCAAGTCTTGCTTGGTCAAAAGGCACAGCGCTTTGCCGTTCATTTGGAAGAGTTCAGCGTCGAACCGCGGTAAATCGAATTCGATTTCGGCCCACTGTATGAACGCCATCACGTCTTCTTTGGTCCAAATCCTGGGGTCGGTGACTGTGGACCAGAAGGAAAACCCACCGTTAATAATTATTGTTGTGAGACGGAAAACGGAACACGATATAGGTTGGATTACACGGCGGGCTCTACTCACTCAAGTTGGCGGGCAAGTGGTGTTTGAAGTCGAGCGGCGACGGGAAAGGCGTCGGAGGCAACAGGGTCGGCGAAGGTGGAAAGTTGAACGCACCGCCGGGGTGCGGGTGGTGATGGTGATACCGCCAGAACAAGTCGGCGGCGGCGGCGGCTCCGCTGTTGAACACGAACGCGGCGGCCGCCGCGTTGTTTGTCATCCCTGGGCCGGTGCCGTTGGTCCCTGGGCCGCTGCCTATCAGGCCGCCTCCGCCGAATCCTCCGCCACCTGTGGCCGAGGGCCGCGTTATCGTCGATACCTGACCCGGAGTCAGGGGCATCAGTTTCATGACGCCTTTAGAGTTTCGATCTGCAGAAAACAAAAATCAGGTTTAGTATTACAGACCGACCGCCAATATATTATTGTATTTTTACGACAGTAAGAAAAAAAAAAAAGTTACAACGGTCCCCCCCTCGACAATGACCTACGGGCGGGACCGCGGGGTTTCCTTTTTAAGACAATACAAAACGAGTCTCGTTTTAACGAAGCCGACATCCGGCCGAGAGTTAATAGTAAAAATTCGATTGGGATAAAAAATGGTTTTTTTTTTTTGGCCGGCAATCGTACTCATGCGCACACCACGCAATTTTATTATTTATTTATTTTTTTTTTTTTTTATAGCAAGCGATATCGTTGCCAAATACGTTATACACGCAATAACGGTCAGTGTCGTCCTCTCGTCCTATTGTGTATTTCGAGCATTTTTTTTTTTTTTATTTTTTGTTCGTCTCGTGTTTATACCTGCGCAAAACACGCCGGGAGGGGTCCCGGTTATAGCGGTTTTCGTATTTTTTTTTCGTCTCTGTCGTTCGGCGAGATGTTCATCGTCTGCCGCCGGAGAACCGAAAAAACGTCGGCTATTAAAGATCCGTCTACCGTTTTCGGCGGTCGAACGTAAACACGGACAATAAAAAAACGCGTCAAAACGAAAATGGTCGAACGTCTATCGGACACAATAATTGTTTTCAGCGATTACTCTGGAAAAACGAAACGCGGTAAAAAAAAAAAAAAAAATCGAGAATAGTCGCGATTTAGATAGTTTTCAGGATCTATCTAAATCACACATTGGCCGATAGAGGGGGGGGGGAATGGTGAAATTTTCAAAATTCTTAGTTTAAAAAAAAAAAAAGCGATTTCCGAATTGAAAACGTAAAATAAAAAACGTTACACATACTTGTAGGCGGAAAGTATGAGAGATGTTACGGAATAATTTAATTTCTATTATAGCAACGATAAACCACTGCAATCAAAAACCGATACCGAGCGGAACTCGCGGTAAACCGGCAACAAGGACAGTTGTGGTCGTGACGACGGTCATCCAGAAGCGATAAACAATTAAACCAAATTTTATTTCATTTTTTTTAATCGTTTGGAAATTCGCACGTTTAAGATCGAAGCATTTGATATAGGACAACAAAATCGACAAAACTTTTTTTACTACAGCCGAAAAAATGTTTCCCTAGAGGGGGGGGGGGGACCCGTCCCGACGAAACACATTACCACACTGCGCTACGACAAAATTCGTACACCGAGGATACGTGAAAAGGCATCTGTCGCAACAGCGCGTTATTTTTTTTACAATGACAATAATACGTGTGCGGGTGTTTTTTTTTTTTCTACCATATTGAGACACCACACGCGCGTTTTGCATACGAATAATAATTATTTTACACGCGCGTCTAAACGGAAATGCACGTCGTCGTCGGTTCGTATGGTATGGTATGGTATGGTATGATACTTAACAGTTTTACCATGTTCTATTGACTGTACACGCTCACGTTATTATAGCGAGTAGTAAATTCCGAACGTACCGGATGATAAACGCGTTTCATTGTCGTCGGGTTTGTAGGTGGCCGCTAAAACAATACGGAAAACCGCTGGTGGGGGAAAAGAACGCGCGGACCGGACGACTTCGACGGTGCGTTTTTGTATTTCGTACGTTTTGTTCGCGTACGTTTTAACCCGTTTCGTGAACGATTTCAAATATTAATCGAACACGGTTCCTCGCCGTCTCCGCGGCGGCCGTTTGTCTGGCACTCCACTCCTCGGCATTCCGGTATCGCGTAAATAACAATAATTTTACGTACCGGAAATTCGATGTGTCGATAAATAAACAGCAGAAGAAAAAAAAAAAAAATTCAAACGTTTAACAAGTGTGCCAAAGCGTGTGTGCGCCGTTCGGTAGGTACCCGACACCGCCGCCACAAAAAAAAAACCGTATTCGTATCCACTCCTCTCTTCTACCCGTCCGCTCGCGACGATCATAATATTTTATTATTCCGTTTCACCGACCCGTACAGAATAGTATGTGCGCATGACGCGCAAAAAGTGTTTCATCAATCGTACAAAATACGGTATAGTGGAGTACAATGCGCGCGGTCCAAACAACTTTTGGTCAGCGTACCGACCGACCGACCCACCCCGTCGACCGCGCGTGGAAAATATCATTCGCAATAAATTATTGTTCCCGGTAACGAAATCGGTTAGGCGCGAGGTATCCGGGCACTCGTGTTTTATTGTAACGGGGCCGCGTCCGAGACACGTTTTCGGGTTTCGGAGGGCGTTTCAAGAAGAGGTTTTTTTTAGTTTACCAAACTCCGACCTGCTATATTAGTCCGTTAATTTGGACTCTAAACGCGCGTGCGGGAATTTGAAAAAAAAAAAAATAAAAAAATAAAACGAAACGGGAGGGGACGCGGCGCAGTATAAACGCGTATGATAATTACCGATACGGTTCGCGGGTCGAATAAACCGCAAAATCCGTCAAACCGGTAACGATACCCGACGAAATATACGAATTTCAAGACGTAATCGCAAAAACCAACAGGTTTCCCGCAACAGTGATATCTAACCGACGGGTGTCAGGGGAGGGAGGGGGGGGAGTGATATAACTCTTTAACCTCTCGGGCCCCCTACCCCGCGCTCGGATCTAAAACGGACGGCGAAAACTCCGAACCCCCGCGCGGATACGGTTTGTGGGGTTCGCGCATTTCCGGCACGGCGGTTTTTTTTTTTCTCTTCTAGACACGTTTAACCCACCAAAAATACCAGACACTTGACCGCGCTGTATGCACACGCGCACGAGACTCAACACTTTGGAGCACGTGGTATACGCGGCGCGTTCCCGGAACGTAGGCGCGCGATAAGTACGGTGACGACGACGACGACAAAACACGTCATTTACATTATAATACACAACAATAAAAAAAAATAATAATAATAAAAATACCGCGTATAAGCGATCGGGAGTGAGCGAGAGGAGTGTAAAAAAAGGGCGTTCGACAATATAATGTAGCGGAAAAAAAAAATTACATATTTCGCGTGTGTCATCGATTCCGGAACGTGTGCGCGCGGTTTTGCAAATAATAACATTAAAAAAAAAAAAAAAAATCCTATACACCAGAAAAACCAGGAAACCCGACACTCCGTTCGCTTTTGTCTCGTCGCGATTTTTTGTCGCCGTGTCGCCGTATGCAGAAACAAAAATAAGAAAATAATAATAATAAAAAAAATTCGTATACGTTTTTCGAACGACGTCAAATAAATTAGAATACCTAATTTCCCCTACCCTACCCTCTGGCTCTGTCGTCGTTTTACTGTCGCGTGTACGGGCAAAAAAAATTTCGCGCGTTTAATTTTTCGACCCCGGACGATTTACACGATTATTATTATGCGCGTGGCTCTGACAGAATAAAAAAATATACATATATACATACGTAACAACACGCGAACGTTTATTTAAATTAATTCCGCGCTGTTGTTCGCGACGCACTGTGGCCAATAAACTACAATAATTATTATTTATATTCGTAAAAAAACAAAACTCTCGTTTATAATCGGCTGTAACGACGGTTTTAAATTAGTCGTCGTTTCCGGACACCGTCACCGCCCGTCGTCCTCCCATCTACCCTGCCTGCCTGCCTACTTACGGGGCGAACAAACGTTTTAGTACCTACGTTCTTTTAATGTGCGGCGATTGATTGAAACGTACAAATTTGACGCGGAAAAATAATTAACAGAAAAAAAAAAAATAAATAAAAAAAAAAAAGCCAATATTGTTGATGAGCGGTGGATAGATAGCGCATGATAAAAATATTTCGACGTCCGTCATTGCTAACGAAAAGCGATTCCGAACGGAGTGTTAAATATTGCACTATTCATATGGTTGTATTTTTTCCGCTCGATGTCGAGGTAGCCCCCCCCCCCCGAGACAGATAATATCGTTCGCGTAAAAAACGAACCTACCACCGACCCGCGCAGCAAAAAAAGTAGCCCTTCAAAGTTTTCCGTGCGAGATTTTTCGGTGTAGAGAAGTTTCTCGTTCCGTCCAAAAATCTAAAACTCGAGTGACCACAATATACCCGGTCGGTAATTTGATTGGTTACTTGTGTATATACTGTACGCAACACAGAAAAAAAAACGATTCTGAACGGAGTAGAATTATAGTCGCGCGTTTCCGCCATTGTTACCGCGACGTAACCCGGAAATCGACATAAAGAAGTAAATGACAATAACAGGAAAAAAAAAAAAGAGACGGACGAAATGCGGCAAAATGACGATAAACGTCTGAAATAAAGTGATCTGGTTTAACCCGGTAGAAATGTCGCGTTTTTTTTTTTTTTTGAGGTAGTGAGTGCCAAAAAAAGTGTTCAACAACGAGACAAAAATTATTTAACAATAATATTATTTTACGCTTTCCGACCGAACCGTAGCAAATATAAACGAATATAACACAAAAACATCGGAATCGGACTACGGACGAATTTCCGATTAATCGATACACCGCGAGAGCGCCGCAATGCGTGTGCTAGTCGAAAGGTCGAGAACAATAACCAATAATTATAAAAAAAATGTCCGATATGGAATAGTTTTATTTAAAGTAGGTACAATGTGTTATGCCGTGCGCCGCTCGCGCTCGCGTATAAAAATAATGTTATAATTTTTTTTTTTGTTTTTTTATTCGATAAATGTGCATGATATTAGTACGTTTACAGTGAGCCCCCCCCAGTGAGAACAATGGTAAAAATCCGGTAATTAAACGGCAAACGTATTACAGGAAAAACAAGGGGAAAACCTAACGGAGATGGTTCCATTTTTCCGATTTTCAGTGGCCCGTTCGCTATAGCGCCGTGACGCGAATCCGGACGAAGAAAATAAAAACAGCGCGAAATCGCGAACTGACGGAGAATCCTACTTTTGATCAAATGCCTTAGGCACCTACTGAGTATTATCGATTTCGGACAAACGGTTTTGTTATTTTTTTTTTTTTTTTATTAGGCGCGAACGGCGCTCGAGGAGTACAAGCCTACAAAAAGACGCGGAGTTTTCGCCCGGGCGTTTGTTTATTCGGAACAATTTTTTAGCACACGGGGGGGGGACAAGTGAATACTTGCCTCCCCCGCCTGTTCGAACCCTCGGACTGCACCGGACGCAACGACGTGTCCGAATCGTGACTATCGCCTGCTGCGCCGTTTTTACTATCACGCGATGTTATCATAGCTAGTTAACCTAACCACCTGTCGACGCGTCTACTATCGCGATTACCGTACACTGTCGCGATTATACCGGGACCGTTGTTATCGTTCGTGCGGACCGGACTTTACGCACGTTTCGGGCCCGCCGACTCTTCCCGGATCCGGGTACACCCGATACACACCGAGGAAGGTCAAACGAATCGATTTCCATAATATAAATATTATTAAAACCGCGTATGTGTGGTGCCACATCGTTATTATTATCATTATCATTGCGAGATGCTGTGCGCGCGCGCTAGAAACGGGCGGGGCCGGAAACACGATTTTTTACGCGACCGCGAACAATAATTATACACGTTCTTCCGAGGAATTTTTCGTACTCGTTGGCGCGCGTGTTTTTTCATAAATTCTTCCGACTTTTCTACCCGGAAATAATCTCGCTCCGATCGAAAATTTTATCGGAACTTCCCGCCCGCAGCGTTCTCGATTTTCCTCGAGCGGGTCGTCTCGATAAATCGGAAAAACCGGCAAACTGTTGTTTGGTGATTTCCGTCGATTTCCGGGTCATGGAAAATGTGTAACACTCCGTTCAGAAACGTTTTAGCAACGGTTTATTTTACAAACAGAAATTAAATTACGCTCTATAATGTTATATCCTCAATATTCTAATCGTGTTCTTAAAAACAGTGGCACGCCCATCAGCAATGTCAGCTTTGTTTTTTTTTTTTTTAACGTTATCGCCCGTTTTTTTTTTTTTTTTTAATTTTTTTGTCGGTAGGTACAAGACCGAGTATATTACCGGGAAGCGGTATTATTATCATTTTTTTTTCCATATTCAACTAAATAATATTTAAATATTAACACGGGGCCACGGCAGCTGTTTTTTAATTTTCGTCTCGCAGCACGCGTCGGAATTTAAACAAAAATAAATATGTTTTCGGAAACACGCACCCAATCGCTAACTATTTTTTTTTTATTTTGTCTGTGTTGTTTACGCGACTTCGGACGATGACCGCCGCGGACACCCGAGACGAAAGTCTGTTTTACAAACACGACGGAGTACTTTTGAGAAAAAAAAACACGTAGGTACACACGCCAATTCGGTCATCGCACGTACGCGAAAAAAAAAAGAAACAATAATAATAACACAATAGTAAACCGCGCCGGGAAAAGAAGCCCCGAAAAAACCGAGATTCTGAGCTAGTTTCCGGTCTTTCTCTTTTTAATAATATTATCCGTTTTCCGGTTGTTGTGTCGGTGATATATGCTTGAGGGGAGGAGAAGTAGATCACCGAAAATCTACCGCAAACTGTACGACAAAACTTCTATAAACTTTTCTAAGGTTACAAATCTCGCGTTTAACAATCGGCTGTTCCTTCTCCGACTACGCCCGCGGAGTATACGAACATAAACTCGAATATTCGGTTCGTAGCTTTGTCCCGCAGATATTAAAAATACTAGGGGCACTTCCGTGTTTCTTTACGTTTGAAGCCACATAATAAATTTCCGGCCAGTATAAAAATACGATAGAAAATAATAGAACAACGTAATGAGACCGTACTAAGGATAAATGAAAAATACGATTAAACATACGCACAGATAATACTCTTTGGGACCGTTATCATTGATCCCTATCGTTTTTTGTCGTATCGTTGTCGAACGACTGCAGCCCTCCCCGTTCAACGTTGTTAATATCCGTGTTTCCGTCCGCGACCTTTTCGGATACCGCGTAAAACCGCGTCACTGGTCAGTGGGCAAAACAGGTTTTCACTTTTACCGCGGATTTTTTCGTTACGCTTTACTGGAAGGGAGGAGATCGGGGGGTAAGTCAGAACTACCGGGTATCTAGCCCTTCCTCTCCGCGGCTAGGAAGTTTTTCGACCGCGGAAAAGTAAAAGGGTTTTGTATCGATTTCGTTTTCTCCGTTCGATCGTTCGCACAAAACATTGCCGCGTACAATATTGTTTTTTACACGGGTATCATCATCTCGGTCGGCGGTAAAATGCAGGAAAAAAAAAACCGCGACGTTTTCGCGTTCACGCTCGACTATTACCACACACACACACACACACACACACACACGTCTCGATTGCCCGTCGTCCGATTTCGTGGTTTTTTTTTATTATTTATTTATTTTTTTTTTCAAAAAAAAAAATTCCGGGTAAAACTATTTTAAAACGGGCCCGCGGGGGCGGCGGCGGACGACGAGCGTTGACGTAATTTCGACGAACGACGCCGGCGGCGATTGCACGTGCATTGGACGCGTGTCGTTTTAGGACGTCGCCACACGATACCCAGGTCGGTTCGGCGCGCGGCGCGTGTGGGCGGTGCGCTACTCGAGTGCGCGCGCTCGCGAATCTCGCAAGGTGATCGTTTAGCGCGTACGCGGAAACAGCACACGCAAACGGAAGCGCCGCGACGATATTGTCGTTCCCGCAGCGCGACGTTTCGATATTACGAAAACGTAAACGGATGGCGATTAATACCCGGGGCGAAACGCAACGGAAATCTCGAACGAACGAGACGGCGGCGGAACATGATTGTCGTAATTGGCACGGAACCCCTCTCCCCCTCCCCGGCCTTTACAGGCCGAACGACGGGGAAAAAAAAAAAAATAATAATAATAATGCCGGACGTTTGGGGGTTTTTCGCGGGACAAAAAGATTGTTCGCCGTTTTCGCCGTCTCGGAATGACCGTAAATACTTGAGAGACGATGCGCGAAGACGGCGGCGGTCGTTTGGTGGTTTTTCTCGGGACAAAAAGATTGTTCGCCGTTTTCGCCGTCTCGGAATGACCGTAAATACTTGAGAGACGATGCGCGAAGACGGCCGCGCTCGTGCGATAGCCGTTCTCGTGTGGCCCTACGGCCGGAGCATATTATTGTTATTATTATTATTATTATTGTCATCATGTGGGTGTACAGCACGCACGCACGCCGGTTTTCGCGTTGCGGTGCTGTGTGTGCGTGTGCACCGCCGTCGTTCGGCGCTCGTTTTACCGCCGAGAAAGTCGATCGGCGGCGTGGAGGGGGAAGAGGATCGCAGGCCGGACGTCGTCTCCGGGAAGAGCCGGATGCGGCGCGACCGACCGCCGTTACCGCGTTTTAACGACCGGAATACCCGCGGTTTCAACCGCGACGGCGACAAGAGACCGAAAACCCGTCCGCCTCCGCCTGCCGCTATCTATCGTGTTACTTTTACCGAAGAACATTCCGAAATAACACGCCGACGGTAACTATCGTGCCGTGTTTCCGTTCCGGGACGCTTCCGGTATTTATCCGCACACATAATAATAATAATGTCGGGCGTATCATGACTTCTTATTCTATTTCTTTCTTCCGTCGGCCCCTCTACTCGAGAAACAAAGACGGGCCGAGGTCGCGCGTTTCGCGTACATCCTGCACGGCCGCCGTGAATATTTCTGTTTCCGACGGCTGTGGCGCGCGAACGAAATTGCCCTCGAACTTGAACGCCGCGCACGGAAAACCGAATAACGGGATTTCCGGTGTTTGCCGCCAACCGAACGTTATAATATTATTGTGGGCGGACAACAAATTAATGCGAAATGTATTATGGTTCGACGAGAACCTTCGAAAAACACCTTGAACCGCCGAAAAACGTACGCTACGATACCATTATCGCGTTCGGCCGATTAGAACGACAACGTTATCAGTAGCAGTCGAACAAACATAATAGTTATTCGTACCATTATTTCCGTACCCGGGACCCGCGGACAGGATAAATTCGTTTGAATTTTATTTGGTTTTTTTTTTACTGTTTCTGTTCCCAAACCTCCATTATAACGGCCGGAAAACAGGAAATATTATTACTGTTTTGAACGGTTATGCAAACGCGCGGTAAAGCGTCATTTCTGTTATTATTGTTATTGTGTACGCGATTTTTATTTATAAAATAGAAAAAACACTTTGGTGTTTTCGGCGAGTGTATGTGGTAGGTACCACAAACTGTAATAACAATAATAATAAATGTGTTTGTTCGGTACGCCGTTGCTGATAACTCGTTACTCTTATCGCCGCCGCTATAATAACGGCGGGCCGTATTTTCGAACCGGGCGACTTTTAAAAATAGACGAAAAACAGTGTCCGTCTTCTATTTTTATTTCGTAGACGGCCCGAAAAAGACCGCGTTATCGCAAAACTCTAGTTTCGAGTCTTCGTATCCGAATAATAATAATAATAATGACGTTTTATTTATACACGGGTCGGTTGAAAATAACGTAAAATCACAATTCTCTAGAAATATCCACCGAGGCACCACCGCTACTATTGTTATTATGATAATTAAACGACAGCGACGACCGCGGGGAATGTACGGATATAAAAACAGACAAAAAAAAGAAAAAAAAGATCTCGTTATCAGTCAACTTTATTATATAGGAGCGCCGCACACGCCGTATTATTATTATTATCGGATTGTTTGAACGATATTGTTATATCATTACCGATTTGTTCTGGATTCGCGATTATTATTATTATTATTATTACTACAGATTGCCGAGACCGGTGACAAAGAGCCCGTAAACCGTTCGCCATCGTCTTTTGCGAAAATGATAACAATACGGTCGTCACCGTCTTATCGCCGTACGGGATAACGCCCGGTCGACGAAATATGCATTCGATTCAAATTTCTCCGTTCTAATGACACGATTTTTGCCGCCATTATTACACTTGGCCGTTATACGTGTCCGTCGTGCCCCCAACCGTCGGGCTTTCCGAATCGTCCCCTTTTTTACTCCCTTGAGCTTTTCCGATTATTATTATGTGACGTCCCCGAACCCGTCGAACGTGTTGTTTTATTTTCTACAAATTTGAAATCGTTCGAGAATAGGAATAATACGAAACCTGCAATATTTGTAGTTTTGTGCATTCCTGTGCGGTCACAGCAATCAAATCGGCGGCGTAAATGAAGTTTTTGCTATTGAAAATCCAAATAAAAATTATAGGGGATTAGGTATAATACTTTACTGTTAATATTACGTTCGAGACCAATTTTCGTATGAAACGGCGAAAAAAAATCGTCGCAATTTCAAAATTATTGAAACATTCGCGGAGTTTTCAAACGAAATACGTCCAAGATATCCAGCGATGCTCGTTCGACTGTGTCGTCTCGTAATTTGGTACACAGAACACGTTTTTTTTTTTTGTTGTTGTTTTCGTCAACTGATTTAAAACATGTATTACCCGTCGATGCAAAACGGACGAACGTGTACGCCGGGAAAATATTACCCACGAAAATTATAGGTTCGGGGGGAGGGAAATAATAAAAAATATTAATACGCAACGATATTTCCTCGTAGTATTTCTTACCGCGGACGCGAGAAAACTGACTGCGATGGCGACGCAACATTCCGTTTTTTTTTTATTCGAAAAATTACCAACACGTAGTAAAAAAAAAAAAAAAACCGTAGGTACGGGATCTCCGCCGATATTATTGTATTATGTTACTACAGTAGTTTCCATTATATTATTATCTTCTCGATAGTAACAAAATCAAAAAAAAAAAAAAATCGACAGAATATTTTTTATATACGCCGCCGATAGAAAATGTGTAATGCGATTTATTATTATTAATATATAATATTATTGTTTTCTTCGGGTGCGCTGGGTATTAGATTACGAAAAAAAAAAAAATGAGCCCGCGTCTGACAAAAGGTTACAATAATAATATATATTATACAGAATGGTTCTTTTGTCCCGCGCGACCGGTTTAAATCTAAAGGCGCGACGGTGGTTCTAAACAAACGGCGTTAAAACGATTCCCCCGTATATTGCAAAGAAAAACAAAAAATCGAATTTAATAGAAGTAGAGTAAGTCGCACTTGTTATCGTTCGTATCACTGAGATACAGCTGCTGACGGGCGGCGTGCCATCGTTTCAGGAGAAAATCCGGAAGGGAAGAGACGTACACAGGCAATTCCCATTTATATGTCCGTTCGTAACGATCAAAAACAAGGCTAACGAAAAACGATTTTGATCGGAGTAAATTCGCCCCGTTGTCCCACGGATATCGACAGAAATTGTTATAAACGAAAACAACAAGGAAAATCGACGAAACGCCACAAGAAAGTTTACATTTTTCGATCGAGGCGAGATTTCTGTTGAAAAAGTCGTTTACAGACACACACAAAAAAAAAAAGTAAATAGAAACGCGTCGTATTATGAAGAAATCCAACGTAAACGAATCTTATCCGAGAAGGCAAAACTATTAAAATATATGGAAATCACCCTGTATATAATATTATGTAGTTGAAACGATTATTAAAATTTTTTCTGGGGTTTTTTTTTTTTTTTTTTTTTTTTTTTTTTTAGTTTTTTTTTTTTCGCTATATTTTTGACCGAACAAAAAACAAGTTATTTCGCGCGCGGCATTACTCCGGCGGTTTTCGACGACGACACACTTGTAACAATAATAATATTATAATCGCGGACCCGCTCCTCTCTTTCCCCTATGTATCGTTATCATTTTTTTTTTTTTTTTCACTAGGTTTTCATAATAGACACGAAGACGACCAACCGACACGGCGACGGTTTTAGACGCGCGCGGCGCACACGGATCGGTAAAAATAGAACGGTAAAACGACGTGCCGCCGGACGAAAACTTCTTGGCGTGCACTTCCCGTCGAGAAATAGGGAAAAAAAAAATAAATAAAATAAACTCTTATATTATACGCGCGCGCGCGTGTGTGTGTGTGTATGTGTTACATCGTTGCCGCCGCAGTATAATACACAGAAACACTACTTCCGGTCGTACAGGAAACGAGCGCGCGCGCGCCCGCGGACCGTCGACGCCGCCGGTATTAATATCCTTTTCCCTACCCAACCGTCTTTCCGGTCTCTTTTTTTTTTTTTTTCTTTCTGCGTCGTTTCTTACTGCACAACGTTTGCCCTCTTTTCGCCGACGGACGCACAGGTATTATAATATTATTATACCGTTTGAATACGTGGACGAGCGAACCGAAAAATACCGTCAGTCGTTAGAAAATTCGTTCTCGCGAGTCACTCGCCGCCCACCATATTACCTTCCGCGGGAGAAACGGTCAAGTATCGATTTTTCGGGGAATTTTTTCATTCCCCCCCCCCTCAACAATTCCGTCGGTCCGAACGGCGGCGGGGCGCTAGCGTATTTTTCGAAATTTAATCCGCCCGGATAACGTTCGGAACCGGCGGGCGGCAGGTGCCTTAAACAAAAAAAAAAAAATCCTATTGCGTTGCGACAATAATCCGCCGATATTCCGTCTTTTTTACCATAATTTTTACCGTGGACGAGTCTTGTCGCGATCTTAATCGCGGCCGGCTAGTAACCCTGTCGATCCGTCCCGTACGCGCCGTGTCAAAACGCGTAGGATTTCTAATCCCGCACCGAGTATGGTCTCTTAACGCGTAGGAACTCGCGGGGCGCATTAATTGTTTTACCGTCGCCGTTCCGAATAATACTACCGGTACAAAACGCCGTGTTCGGCGGCCCGAAGGAGGTCGAAGTGGAATACGGGCGGACACAATTTTTATACATTTTTTTATTTTTTTTTTCGGTCTTTGTGTCGAGAGCTCTCGTTTATTTTACACCGGCCGACCGACAACACACACACACACACCGTATACACATATTACACGAGCCGTACACGTACGCGCGCATATGTACACAAACACAACACGGGAGGAAAACCGAGACGCGGCGGCGGTTAACCTTGGACGACGACGACGACGACGGGCGGCGGCGGCGGCAAACGCGCGGTTCTTTGTCCCGGGCCTATAGTTTTGTACACACACACATACACAAACGCGCGCGCGCGCGCCGTACACACAAACGCAGCCAGACACGACGAACGCAGAGACGCAGACGCACACCACACACACATACACACACACACACACACACACAAACACACGCGTATTGGAACTTCCGCTCTGCGGCGCGCGCAGCAACAGGTCATGTTACTCCGCCGCCACATGTTGGCGTGGCGGCGGGAGAGAAGAGACCGAAACGGGTTTCTCTCGGCGTGTGTGCACCGCTTCTTATCGGTCGCTGTATAGTAATAATAATAATAATAATAATAATAACAACATCACCGCTATAAATAATAGCGCTTTGTGCGGAAACGTTTACGATTTTTCCCTACTCCCCACGTGACGCGGAAAACCGCCGACATTTATTCGGGTCGGCGACGGACGCGCGCGCGCGGACGAAAGGAACCGGAAGGGACGCGATTTGCATTCAATGACGCCGCGTATGAATAATAATGATAGTGGAGGGGGTGCCCGGTCGCGCAGAACGAATCCGTCGGTTATTAAAATATTTAAAAATGCAAAAAAAAAAAATAATAAAATTGACCTTATTAACCGGGCGCGTCTCGAAACGCGCCGCGGTCGTATCCGTTTCCTTTCGAACGGCAACAACGAAAATTGTCATCGATCGTCGTCACGATGCATAATTAGTTTTGTAGATAGAAAAAAAACAAAAAAAAAAAAATCGAACGTACCCAGAGTGTGAGCGGTGCTCGGGCAGAACAAGTGTCGGGCTTCAAAAACACGACGGCGCAACACCCCGCGGGACGACGGTACCTCTGCGTTGTAAGTTGTTACGAGACTAAAAAAAAAATAAAAACCGTTCGGAATCAAAACGCGACGACGACCCCGTCGCGACACTCGGGGGCGAATAACGACGAGACGGGCGGCGACGAGAGGGAAACAAAATACAAATAATCGTAATCGTAAATATGTGTCATATCGTCGAGATTACCGCCCCCCCGCCGCCGCTACGCGTTACGAACCGGTCGGCGGCTGTTGCCGCCGCGGTGAGGGGGAGTGCGGCGTCCCTTTTGTGTGACGAAGAACGGCGAGCAGGTGTTCCACCGTCGCCGGCGTGTCGTAGGGGTGCGACGGCGGCCGCGGCGATAAAAAAGAAGAAAGAAGCGGCGAGGAATCCCTTGTACCCCGCGCCTCGCCGGCCGACCGACCGCGCGCGCGAGATGAACGCTCAGACGGGGCGCCCCAGACACCGAACCGTGGGAACGGGGCCGTTTCCTTTTCTGTTTTTTCGTTATCCCGCCCGCACCGCCGCCGCCGACACCGCCCCCCCGCCCGCGGCTGTAGACCGCCCGCAACCCGCCCCACCGACCCCGTCAACCTCCCGAACATTCCGTCAGCGGTCGCTCCGGCGGCAGCTTCCCGAATACACGACGACGATGACACAACGCGCCCGTATTCTTTGTCGTCTCTCCCACTTCCTATGGTAATAATTATTTCTTGACGGACGCGCGGCGTGTTCGTCTTTGCGACGGCACGAAACGGGAACAATACGTAAACCCCGTACGAGCTTTCCTCCTCCCACATCCCCTACTACCGCGGGTGTCTGTCGGTCGAGCCGTTATTAGAAACGACCGGAGTGTAAACAATAATAATTATCAGCGCAGATAAACGAAAAATAATAATACGCGAGAAAGTGACCGGGAGGGTGAGGAGGGGATGTGTTACGGACACGCGCGTTTTCGCGAACGGATGGCGAATACGAAAACCTTGACCCTCCCCGCGGAAACGTAGTGTTTTCAGAAGGAAAAAAAAAAACAACAATAATCGTACGCCCGGGAAATAAACACACGTTTGAAATATGTATTATTTATTTATGTATTTTGACGTAACAAAACAATAATGTGTATTATAATAACGATCGACGCGGACGTGGAACACGGCGGCGTGTGTGTGCGTCTGTGTGGAAGTCCGTCCGGAATCCGGTCGTATGCGTGTGTGTGTGTGTGTGTGTGTGCGTGTGCGTGTGCAGTCAAGGTCAACCGTAGGACAATAGCGTTCGACGAGAAAGGGAGGCAACGGAGGCGGCGGAAAAGAACGCATCTCGTCGTCGTCGTCGTCGTCGTCTCGGGAGCCCTCTCTCGCGCACCACCCGCCCCGTCCTACCCGCACGCGCGTAGTACGTACGCACACCGCCCCGCCGACTCCTACAGCTACGCGGTTCCTTCTACGCCACCGACCGCCGTCGCCGCCGACGCACCGCACGCCGTCGTGTATCCACACTCTTCCTACATAGGCAACAACCGCCTCCGGGCCAACACACTGTACCTATATAATAATAATAATAATAATAATAATATAATAATGTATTATATTATTATTATTATTATATACGACACAATCGTTATGATCGCGGAACAGGAAATACGAACGACGCCGCCGTCGCTCGTGTGACGTGCGTGACCAATAACCAGTGCGGCCAACCCTTTCGACGAGGCGCGCGCGCCTTATTGTACGCGGCGCGCGCCCGTTCGGCGTTACGTTCCGTAATAAATAATATCGGTTATTATTGCTGTTGTCGGTATACGGTCGTGATGCCATTTCGGGTTCGTTGGGCCGCGGGCCATAAAAACGAAAAACGAAAAACGAATTCGCAACGTCCGCGTCTTTATTCGTAAAAACTATAAGCCGGCGTTATTATTATCCGTGTACAATGCGGAGATCCCCGCGCGTTTCCCGTCCGTCTTTTGAATAAGTGCCCGGCCTGTTATGTGGAACTACAATGATAATACAATAGCGCCCCACCCGACAGTCCCGCCGAAAAACGCATTGCGTGAGGGGGGCGGGGGTACCTGTGCTACCTAGGACGGAACGCCGGCCCTTCGGACGGCTCGCAGCAGGGGTGGGCGACGACACCTGTTCGAGCGGGCCGGCACCGATAATGTCGCGGCCGGTGCGCCGATAATAGTGCAATATAGTGACAATAAAAACCCTTAGAAAACAAAAAAAAAACTACGGGGATGCGCGAGGTGGACACGGGCGGGATTCTCGTGGGTCCGTTTTCCGGTTACGCTTTCGGCCGGCACGGATTCTTCTGTATTTCGGCTGTACCTGCCGGGTAGCGCGACGGAGAAGGGAAAAGAGGCGAAAAAAAAAAAAAACGCCACCTCTGCGTGTTACTACGGACACCCGTTATATGATTATAGAAAGGTTAGACGGCCTTTTATGCGAACGCACGGTCTCCATATTGTTATTATTACGCAACGGAATTTTATACGAATTCAATAAAACCGATAAATACAACAACAACAATAACAACAATAATCGTCTTAAACACCCGGTGCGCGACATAGACCCCCGGAACTTATTGTTATTATTTATTTTTTTTTTTCATAACGCTATAGGTACCCGTTACGGTTCGCAACGATCCCGATACGGTATCGACGATACACAAGAACCGGACGTTTTTTTTTTTTTTCTTTTTCGGACGGCCCGATAATAAAATAACTTCCTCCTTACCTTACGGTCCGGATAGTCTGGGTAGGTCCCGCTGCGGAATCCCAAAGCGTCGTTCGGCGTGCGTCAAGAAGTCGACGGGTTACACTGGACTTCGACGACGGTCGGGAAACGATTCATTTACCCGGGCGCGCACACCGCGGAAACGACACACGCACAACGATTTTACGACAAATTTCGCGACTTTTCTTATTTTCCTCTTCTGAAGAACACAACACGCGGCGCGACCAACGACGAGTGACGACGAGTGATGATGATTATCCCGGGATGGAAAAAATAATAATAATATTGACGGCGAACTGTCGAGTTAACAAAAAAAAATAATAATAATAATAATAATAACACGCGGACGGCTGATAATAAAATATTCACGCGAAACCGAAAACACGGGCGAATAGAAAATTCGAAAAAAAAAAAATCAATCAATCAATTAATAATCACGTATTATTCGTGTATTATATTTTTTTAACAGTAAAAATAGAACTATAATAATTATGTATTTTTTGCCGTATCGTCGGGTTTATGTAGAAAAAAAAAAAGTAATAATAAAAATAATATTGTTAATCGCGTCGTCGTACGCGGAACGAGAGAACGGCACTACGTGCTCCACCGGCAACCTGACGGCAACAAAATGGTACGCTGCTGGCCGACGGTTCTATGGGTGTCGCGGCGAAACGCATGATACGGACTGACTGCGGCGCGCTCCGCAGTCAGTGTCGCCCCGCTTCCGTACGATAATTATCGTACCGCGCGCACCATAATAATTACTATCGCGCGCAACTAGTAGTGACTCTGGGTTCTTTTCTCTCTGTCTCTCTCACACTCTCTCTCTCTCTCTCCCCCCGATATCGTTATAGTAAATAGTACTACGTATTGTAGTAGTTTTTATATTAGTAGTAGGTATAGTACTATATTTATAATATTATCATCGTATGCGTATTTCGTCCGCGCACACACGAATCGTAAACTGCTGGCGTACGCGCGCGCGGGTGTGTGTCGGTGTGTGTGTGCGTTTGTGTGTGTGTGTGTGCGCGTGTACATCATCCGACAAAACGTCTATAGCTTGCGGTTTTTTTTTTTGTTTTCTGTTCACCGTACACGTGACTACAATATGGTCATCGCTGTTGTAGTCGTGCGACAATAATATATAATAACAATTATTATTATGTTATTAACGTTATTACAGACGCGTTTTACACGGCATACCGGAGTGTGCCGTGTAATTCGTTTCCGCCAAAATGAAAAAAAAAAAAAAAACAAACCCAAAAAAGAACAGTTTCCGCCGAATGAATTTTTCTCCACCCGAATAATATTCGTGTCCGCCATAACCGTTGTGACTTTTTTTTAACAAGTTCAAACAATATTAACGTTTCAAGTATGAAATATGATCCCCCCCCCCATTAAAAAATCAATCATAATAATGCGGGTTAAATTTGCTGATTGGTGTGCCAATTTTTTTCGGAGTGAAGTCAGAAGGTTGGATATTAATAACAGAGTGATTTAATTTCAATCTGTACGCAATGATAGACGAAAATCGATTCTGTGCGGAGTGTTATTAATTGTATTTTTATAATCCAGAAATCGGCATAGATTATATTCGAAAAATATTAAAAAAACTACGAGGAGATTAAACAGAGTTTACCTCCCCAATGCACCGACTAGATAGAGTAAAAAAAAACACTAAATTCTTACAAAGTTTTTATGACTGGCCAAAGAAAGATTTCTGTCGGTACAAAACAAATACAAATAAAACATGTCGTAGTTAACCAATAGTTATTCCGTTCGGTTTCTCGCGGAATAATAATTTCGTAAGTAATCGTAGTAAATCACTACGGACGGTTTTAAATTTAACAGAACAAACAAAAATCGCAACGGTATTTCTAATTAAAAATTGAAAAATCCCGAATATATAATTACACCGAGAAGAAGATTATTTATATCTATGTTTCCATTTTACAGATAACAAACGAATCGCAAGTTCCTAGTAGTATAGTAATATTATTACTACTATTATCTGAATACTACGCTGATAATAAACTAATCCGTTCGACTTGGGTACAATAATTACGAAGAAGCCATTCGGTACCGGCCACGACAATCCAAACGGTATTCAATGTGAAAAAATGAGCCGACACCGCTGATGGATGTGCCGCCATTATAGGCGGGGAATTGAGAAGGTAGGGGACATCGAGTTATTGATCTGTACGCGACGATCGACCAGTGCGATTCTGGGCAAAGTTCAGAGTTAAACTTATTTTCGAAAATCCGCAATTTTCACGATTTTCGCCGAAATTCTAACATAAAACAAGCTTGTACAGAAAAAAAATAATAAAAACGCAACTACATTACGCTCGACAATTCTTTTATTTTTGACTACCAACTACGAATTCTGATGAACCTCGTGTTGAATTTCTCGATAACATTTACTGTACCAACTAGATCGATATGTTATGTTCAAAATCAAACTAATAAGAGTTTGTTGTGGAGTGACGATCGGTAAGGAGGGGGGATTCCCGGATCCGCCACTACTACAAAAACAAAAAAACATACATCGTAGTAAAACCAATGCATTCCTCAGTACGCTGAAAATAAAATTAAAAAAAAAACATTTCTCCGCATTCTTTTTGTTTTCCTTTTTTGCGGTGGCTCTCGGTTTCAGCTTTCGCAGCCGTCCCAACCTCCAGGTACTTGTTTTTTTTTTTTCGGTGCTAGGAAACCCTTCGCGATATTTCGCGGTGTATTACAATTTTTAAACCTTAAAATTGGAATTTGTCAGACGTCGTGACGGTGCACGTGATGGAAATAAAAAATGTTTCATAAACGGAAACTCGGCTTGTATGCATATAATAATAGTAATGTGTCGTTGTCGTCTCGTCGTCGTCGTCGTGACGCGATGGCCTAGATTTTGCTCTACGGAAAATATTTATTTTCTTAGAACATAACATTTGTAATGCCGGCTACTTGTTTTATAATATAAGATATATATGTGCGTGTATGTGTTTATTTATTGTTGAGTTGTTAGACAGATGAGCGGGGGAGGGTAAGAGGGGGAAATACGCGTTTCGTGCGAACGCTTGAGTAAAAAAAAAAAAAAAAACGGAACAATACGGATCGAGATAAAATTGTCGGTTACGCGGAATTAGAACGCGCACACGTAACGCGCGCGTTACAGTACAATTTCAGTGTGCATATACGGAGCGAGTCATAAAATTATTATAATTATTACCATATCGATCTTATGCAGACGCCCGGACTGTTGATCAGAAAAAAAAAATAAATAAATATCTTAATCCGGATTCGTCGGCGAAAATTAGAGGTGTGTACAGGTTCGCGGCCGGGTTTTATGGACACAGATCGGACATTTATGTTATAAATTTTTTTAAAAATACCGACACTGCTCGTGGGCGTGCCGTCGTTTTAGCATCCATCAGGGAAGTTTGGAAGGTAGTCATTTGATTTATGTATTGTCTACGCGACGGCGTATCGTTGTTGACGAAAAACGATTCCGAGCCGAGTATTGTTAGCCGTATATTTCCCATTGTGGCTAAGGTAACCTGGAAATCAACAAAAATGATACAACCAATTATCAGGTTTCATTTCACGTTTATTAAGAAAACTACAAATAAATATAAAAATGGCATTAAACTCGATTTAAAATTCTACATGAAAAGTTCCTATAATGTTTTCGATTGGAATAAAATCAATACATTCCGTTCTTAGCTCAATATCTAAAAAAAAAAAAGGAAGTCTATACCATTATAGTAGTATTTAAACCAGAGAGAATTTAGACCGATGTAACTATAACTTATATGTTAACAAAAATCACGTGTTTAGGTGCGGCGCACTCTGAAACTACTCAACCGATTTTGATAAGATAATGCTCAATGTGTGTGATTTGGTCAAACTTAAAATATAGGATAGTGTTCAACGTCCCGTGCTCGATTCCGTGAACTATATAGGGGTATTTAGGTATTTTTGAATACATTTTCATTTGATACGGATATCTAATTGTTTATGTAAATTAATTAATTAATTTTTGTTTATTCGCGGGTTGCCTTGGTGATACAGATGATAATTTGGTTGTCGTGGATAAGAAAACTACTACTATTATTATTATTATTTACACTAATATCAAGCAATAGCAAAGCGTTACCAGGTCAGCTGGTACATAAATATATCATGATGACGCATCGTACAGACGGAAAGAGGTTTACAGAATGTCGACCAGAGGAAAAGTCTTGTGCGTCGTGAGAGTGAACAAATCGAGATAGATATTGGGAGATGAGGCGGGACAAAAAATAAGAATAGTCGGATAAAAGCCATGTGGAATTCCATCCGTGGTTTCCGTGGCTTTATATTTCGGGACGCGTTCGTTCACCGCGCAGTCAGTGGCGTATACGCCCGGGATGGGAACCTGAGAGGGCATTTTCCATTTCCTCTTACCAGGAAAAACGGTTTACAGAATAATACTGTTATTGTACCGCAGGTACTGATAATAATGTACCGTAGGTAGGATTATTTCGATAGATTCCCGTGACGCGGGGTACACCACTCACCGTTGCGAGCGTCGCGGCGACGCTTTACCATTTTTAAACACGCCGCATTGCGGCCGCGGTTACCCGTTTGCGATCAAAAGTGAAATGCCGCGCCGTAGAAAAAACAAACGGCGCGAAAACGCGCGTGCAAATCACTCTATACAATTCACATCGTACACTACAAAATATTATTATAGTTACAACAACAACGGCTGATTTTGCGGTTCTCGGCGCCGAGATAAACGCGTTATTTACTGCCGCGTTATTGCCATTATTTATCATTATTTACGGTTTATCGATGTGTCCGTCTGCGCGATCGATCGTATAATAACAATAATTATTTAATAATGTGTAAAACAAACTGCCATAATAATAATAATAATAATAATAATATTATTATATCAGCAAGTATATAAATATACAAAGTCTACGTTTCGTCGCGAAAATCGCATTTTAATTATACACCGAATCGTGCGCAGTGGAATTTCGAGTGCACAGCAAACGTTGTCGGCATTTGTCTTTTACTTTTTATAGCTGCTTAAGCTTTTTTAAGTTCCTCGCGACACGGATACTTAAACAGCAACCTAGGCTCACCCCCTCTCCCCCTGAATAACACGCAAGCAGTAGCATCACTCAGGTCACTGACCTAACCGCAGTACTCTACTCTACTGTACCAATCGTGCGCACGGGGAGAGGCAGGAGAGGTAGCTACCTCCCTTGCGAGATTTTCCGGTGAAATATTTTTCGAAAAAACATGTTACATGTGTCATGTATACGAATTTATTTTAAATATTAAATCCTAACGTCCCCGTGATTTTGTACATAGTTGAAGGAGCTTTGGAGAATTCCCTCTCCCCCCCCTTCGAAAATTCAGCCAGGTTCCCCCCGAAATAAGTCCCCATCAAGCTGGTAATATTAATTTACATAGTCAATATAATGGGGGCTTAAGCCTTCTCCAAATATATTTGTGCCTATGATTTTTGTGTGAGGTTCGATTTCAAAAATCGTAGTCTTCTTTGCGCAAGTTTATGAGTCTGTACCGGCCGCTTAATTAGAGCTTGGCCGTGATAAGGGGGGGGGGTAGGATCAACGTAAATCGTAATAATGAATTAAAATTATTCGGCATTAGAGCTAATTCGCACTGAACCATCCTATCTGGATACATAAATCAATACTAACTGCACTTATATGAATTGATAACATTGTCGTTTAATTACACATTTTTTTTTCGGTTATATTTTGCGACAATTTATTGAAATTTCGTGGTAAAATTATTATACTAAACTATTGTTGTCTTTGAACCATAATAATGATAATATGAGTTAATAAGGCTGTTGCAAACAAGATAACAGAAAGTAATCGATAAACGTATTTTGAACTTCGTAAAAAAAAAAATGCTTTTTGTTTTAAAATTATAGAAGTAGGTACCTACACCAGAAAAAAAAAAGAATGTGGGTCAAGCCGTCAGGGGGAAGACTCTCAAATCCCCCCCTCCCCGGTCATGATTACGTCGGTGCACTGTACTGAAGTGCGTATACCGTCTATGTATATTATTTTGTGATTTGTTATGTTGTCGTCTCGGAGGGGGGGGAATAAAACTTACTCTTATATTATTACGAGGCTTGATATTGTTTGTGCGGACGCGCGAAAAGGGATACGGAATAATAACAATGATATAATACGAGTGATAATATAACGAAAAACCAATCGAACATCACGACGTCTACGACGAGTATCTGCCGTAAAGGAAGTAGGAAAAAAAAAACCCGAACAAAAACTAAATAAATAGTAATTTCTTTCCTCATCCGCGTCAAAACGTGCAGAAGTCCTTGGACCGGCGTACAGTTTTCCGTCACGGTTTAACGATTCTCTCCGTTTCAAAACGATTTCCTGGCCGCCGCCAGCAGCGGCCCGCCGTCGTCGTCGTTACCAGTTACCACTACCGCAGTTAGTAATCACACGCCACTCACCGAGCCGATACTACTACCTATACCTATTATTATTACTATTATTATTATTATCATTATTATTATTATTATCATTATTATTATTATTATTATTATTACTACTGCACATACAGTCTGATATAATATACCGGCTTACCGACGACGGTAATAATAATAATATAGTATATCGGTAATATCGTTTTGTAACTATCGAATAACCCGTTATCGTATAAAATACGATTTGAATTATATTTTTATTTTTGCCTCTAAGATACCGAGTAATAAAGCTTTCGGAATTTTTTTTTGGAGATTTGCTATTTAATCCATTTCGCAAAACGCTTTTACGGTTAGTAAAATCGATTCGGATTTTTTAGGGTTTTAGATTCGGAACGTATTGGTTTCACTATGCATAATACCTACAATAACGGCTGCACCCGTCCCCTGTTATCAGCTCTTTTTTTTTTCAAATCTTTTTCCGTCATATTATAATAATATGGTTGACTGTCAATAGAATTCCATCATAACTATTTAAGAACAAAATTTTTATTTGATAACAATTGAAAAACATGTTGTACTTCTGTAACCCGCAAAAGTACCTACCTATAATATGGGAATAACCGCTTATTTTCATTTTGTGTAATACTGAGAATAAACAGGAACTGTATAAATATCTTCACTCAATTCGGTATGTGTCGGCTATTTTCTGTTAATTTAATTTTCGAACGTTTAAAACGTTCGCGTATTCACGCACGTTTCAAACACGGAGACGACGTTCAAAACGTTTAAAACAAGTGTGTAACAAATAGCGCGGTACTTCCGACCGCCGGGCTGAGAAGTCAGTCACGTCGGCATTTTTATTATTATTATTATTATTTTCTATGCTTTATGCGTGCAGAGGATTGAAACGTGTCTCGCGCCCGGTCCGGAAGTGTGTACAGAGAACGTATCCCAGGCGGCGGCGTCTTTCGGTTTTCCGCGACGAAACATTTCATCGCGTAAAAATATTTTACGGCGGCGGCGACGAGTACGTGAAGCGATTTCCCCTCCCGATACTCCGTCGGCTCATCGGGAGGCCTGTGATGAGACGACGAGTGACGACCTCGCACCGGCCGCCGCCGCAGCCGACGTATCCGTCGTCCGTAAATAACTCGGTCCATCCGGGAAGCCCTACCCGTACGGCGTACGCGCATTCTTCACACTCGACACGGTAATATTTGCACGCCGGTCTTGTCGCGTTAACGTCATCCGCCACCGCCGCCACCGTCGCTAACTTCGCGGGTTTCCTTCCTCTCCGGAGCGACCGGGTTCCACGCCGTCGCCGCCGCGTCGTCCCGGCCCGGCGATCCCGTCGCGTCGTCCGGCCGCGAGAGCCGTCCGAAGTCGGCGCCCGCACACGCGAGCACAGTCCGGAGGCGGAACCGGGATTTTGAACGGCGGAAGGAGGGAGGACGAGGGGAGCTAAATAGGTTTTTGCTCGAATCGTACAACGAAATCGAACGAGAAAAATGAAACAACTCTTTGTAAATGAAACGAGAATGTAATATTATGCATATATTGTATAATGCCGTGGTAGTAGGTTCGTAAGAAAATATTAGCTGATACCGGGGGCGGGGGCGGCCACGGTTGTAGGTGGGTAGTTGGGAAGGTAGGATACATAAAATAAATCATTGCCAACGAAAAACGATTCTGAGCGACGAAAAAATCTAAAATAAATGTAATAATATTTTTTAAAAAAAATATGCGTTTTTACGACAACAGCGATTGTTTTAAACAAAACATCTTTTTTTTAAATCTAAAGAACCGGTTTTTCCTCATTATTTCGAACATTAATGAGAATTTCAAAAAAAAATTACCTTTCCAAAGTACCTACTAGAGACAAAAAAAGTTAAATGTGGCCGATACTCTTCCACTTTTCTCCTTAAATATGTACTTTTTTTTATCCGCAGTTATTATACAAAATTGATTTACAATCGTAGAGGCACAAAATAGGACAAATCTCCAAAAATCCGGTGCGGAATTTCTTTGTAGGAAACTTTTTTTCCCCGAAAATGTACGGTTCTGTTGTATAAAATGGAAAATACCTCGAACTGCAGTATAGTAAAAACGTGGAAGTTATACACCAAATGCTTACAAGTACCAAACATTTTTCGGGAGTAGTAAAAGACTAAAATAAACAGATAATCGTAACGAACGGTATGGAGATATAATTATGGTGTGACATGCAAACTGGTAATGACGAGAAAAATCGAGGTGATCAGTTTTTGCCCCTGGCAAAGGTTGTCGGATGCGCTGAAGGCCGACCTTGAAAAACGCGAGAATAGGGAAAGACTATGTGAAATTGTGGAAGCACCCGAAGGCTTTAAATAATCGACTGGCTATAAAAGCTACAGAAAAAACATAAAACATTTTTGTTGTTTACGAGAAATTTGTAATTTTTTGTGAATTTTCGACCAAAAAATTCGTATATTAATTTACAATAACTTTTGTATTATAAATTGTTAGGTTTTTTTTTCTGTTGCTATTAATTACCAGACTGTTTCCCGATTTGTAAACTTTTTAAACCATCCCCGGAAATGTATTTACGCATTTATTCGTATGGCGTAAAACAGCAAACAATGATATAAGTAAAAAATAAATAGAGTGTAGGTATGTTACCGAAAATAGTTACAGAATAGATAATAGTAAAGGACCAGACAATACATTATAGTAAATTTATAGTGAACCAATAGTTTCTTTTGGTGATTAGTTTTAATTTTTTATGTCGAGATTTTCAATCCATTTCATAGAGGTATTGTGGTAAATTCGGTATCTTCGGTATGCATAAAGTTTGGAGGCATCTTATACCTATTGACTAATGGACAGTGCTTCCTCACTCCTTGCCAATCGATCATCAAAAACTACATGGTTTTTACTCTTACTCTTTTTTATATCGTCATCTGCTTGACTTACAAAGAAGAGAGGAGTGTCATCACTTGTGGTACGCTGTCCAACAGTATTAAGTCCGTAGTTCAAACGCTGTTTTCATTGTTATTCTACAATATCGTATTCGTCTTGTGTTATTTATGTGTAGCCGTGTAGGTGTCATTCATTAATTAATAGGTCTTTATCAGTCTTTCTCAAATTTTTTGATAGTGCGGACCATTTTGTTTTGAAAGAGACTTTTTTAAATTTTCTTTTGGCTTATAACAATGGATATATTTTTCAAAGATTTACAAGATTATTAGTTAACTATATTATAATTTAATATGATAATCTAATGTGATACTGTTGCTCAGAGATACACGCATGTCGTCATTTGTACTCCTCTGGTGATTTTTTATCATGAGAAGATTCAAAAATCCTGTTCACATAGATATATTGTTGAAAATACGAGAAGATAATCTAAGGTAATTTCTTCTCCTAAAGTTTAGTGCGTGCCATTACTCAGTGTATAATATTTACTACGCTGAATTTATTTTTTCTAATTTTTCGAGAAAAAAAAGTAGCAAATAAATCTCTAGCACCGCCGACGGTATCGTTGAACGTTCAGTTTTGAAACCTTCCATACAGACACAACTTCGGCGACTCCAATAAAAGACGTGTATTTGTGTGCGGTCGATATTATCGGTTTAGAACGCTATTTGGATGTCGGACCGATTCGGATTCCGCGACCAGTATTTTTTTATGACGTCACGTAGGCGAAAATGGTTTTTTCGGATATTGTACCGGACGTATACGCTCTGCTAAATCGCTATCGACCGCGGAATAATATAATAATATAATAATTTTTAGCGATAAGATTTGTCCGACATTTGTACTTGTATACCCGTATAATATGACGTCATTTCGCCAACTCTGCACGTTTTAATAAAATTAATT